AGCAGCAAAAGCAAAGCAGAATCTTGTCTCTCTGAGAAAGCACAACAGTGCAGTTAAGCCAGCAAGTAGGGAAAATTATTTTCTACTGTCACAGATGAAGTTGTGGCTCTCCACTGGATGCTGTACTCTTATCAAACAGGCTGTGCAGTGACAATTTGGACCTCGATTATATTTTGCTCATCATTTTGCCTGCCAGTGCTGACTCTCCAGCTCATAGGACATGGACTTACTTTAATGCTATCGGTGCGAGTGTATAGGCATGGACAAAGTAGTAATTTAGGCAAGACAGTAGAAGAGTTTGAGGCAGAAATCTCCTGTGTATTAAAAACATCATGATACACCCAGATGAGGGAAAGTAATGTCCGAGCAACTACAGGGTAAGTTAGACAGGCTTCTCTACTTGGCAATCATAAGAGCTGGGCAAATACAACAGAGCAGAATGTGGAAGAGCAGAACTCATGAAACAAAAGGCAAAATAACTTTCTGAGGATGGGTACCTCAAATTGGATGATAGTATTTTCATTTACACTCAGGTCCCGTGTGGTAATGGAGTGCTCTCCAACTTCATTTGAAACAAATACCATAGCTGAATCTTCTTCCCTGTAAAAAAAGGAAAGGAATACTTCAGACTCAGTTTATTACACAGCCACTTCTTCCTTATGTATTGCCAAGAGATGCTTACGGAGCTCTTTTAGATGAATATGGGCAATAAAGCCCAATGTTTCCACCAGGATAGAAAAACCAGTTGTCCTCTTTAGGACCGAAGTCAAAGGTATCCAAAAGGATAATGGGATTCTTTAAGTTATTTCCATCAATAATGAGGTCATCAATAATCCATATTTCTTCTTTTTTGCCTACAAAAAAAAGAGAAATATTGCTATTAAGACATAACACTACTATTATTAGAGGGCAGAACAGCAGCCAGTATTTATGGATTATGTGGAGAAGAGGGTGCTAAAAGAGTGGCTTCACTATTTTGATTTTCCATTAAAATGGAAATGGAAGATAGAAAGTTTTCACTATTTTATGAAAATAGTCGCCATACTGCTCTGCAGTCTGGCCCTACAGAATTAACTTTTATTCCCTAAATTTTATGAAAGTCACAGCAAAACGAAGAGTGAAAAACTTGTGTTGAACAATTATCTTCTATTTAAATCACATTTACTTTGAAACTCTATCATCAATGTCTTCTTCAATTAAGAATCATCTAAATGGGCAGTTGCTGTAAAGCCCAAGCAGCCTGAGAGTGCAATTTCATTCTACAACTTTTCCTTGCACTCAGAAGCTTGTGTTTGCCTGGGAAGAGCTCTTTGGCAGAGAAGAAAACTCTGAGTGACCTTCTCTCCAATGGATTATGTATTCATACATGTTGGAAAATTGCTATTTTCAAATTGGAGCTGAAGGATTAGATTGACAGATCTTTTGTGTAACTTTTTTTCATCTATCTAAAAGTGTTTGAGTTGATCAGAGAAATTTGAAAGGTTTCTTTTTAATATAATTTCTACTTAGGGATAATGTCAGTAAGAAAAGTTCAGATAATTGTTTTAGGCTGGACACATCAGTAGAATGAACTGGAACTGGGTTGTCATGACCAGATTTAATTTTTTTTTTACTATTTTTTTTTTTTTTTTGTTAGAGGTGTGCAAGGAATTTGCCTGCATGGAATAAATTGTTGCTGTTTCACCAAGTCTAAATGATCCCTTAATGTCAGTTGCTGCTAAGAAATGTGCTCGGAGTAACTGAGAGCAGAGGAGAGCTTTCTTCAGTTGTCACATCTCCTGTAATCAGGAGGAATGAGCTGCATTCCTCTTGTGGTTTTCTAGTCCTTTACAATTTAATCAAAAGATTAACTGCTCAGTACATACTCTTTCTAAATGGGTTTTTAATGCCTAGTTAATTCTGAGTAAGGTAGGCCCAGTTTGCGTTTACACCTGGGACACTTCTGTGTAATTGGAGCATCCTAGTGGGGCCTCAGTGTAAATGAGAATCAGGTCCATTAAAAATAATGAGAGGAACCTGAGTTAAGTTAACTTTATTGGTGTTGCTTGATTGCCTACTCCCTCCAGGGCCAAAGCTGATAGTTTTCTGTGCACAATCAAGGGATATCAGGTTAAGGCACTTTCACTTTAAAGCATACAATAGCTTTGTAAGAACAGTAAACATAATCCCACGGTAATTTTAATTGAAGGAGTTCAAACACAAAAAATTATTAAAAACATGATTTAACAGTCTCTGTAACTCTTCAGTTCAAAAATCCCAGCCTGCTACAGATGCTGAGCTGTGCAAGTGTGGACCTGGATTCCCATTCTCTTCCTTACCGTTGTTGTAAGGTTGCCAGAGCCTGAACCGTGTCGCATTGTTTTGGGCTGCATAGGGCAGAGGAACGTTAATAAAGAGGACATCTGTAGTCTGTGTGAAGTAAAACTCATCTATCAGGTGCCAAGTGATGCCACCGTTGACAGAATATTGCAGCAGGATGGAATGAGACCTCTCGGGGGTGCCTGGAGCAGAGAGGACATGGATTTATGTTCACTAAAATCTGGTAAGTTAAAAAAATGCTTCTTCAAGTATAAATACAATTAGGTTCTTCTGACATCTATTACAAAGAGTGGTCTTCCTTTAGCAACAACTTAAGCTGTTGAGATGTTATACAGGCATTGCATATATACATCTTCCTGAGCTTTCCCTTGTTTGTCTGTCTGCAAAATGCTAATGAATTAGGACCTAAATTTACATTGTTGTTCATTATAAGTACCCATCATTTAATTACTTAGCTATCCCAGTGTTATAGTTTTTTAGATTAGAACAAACCAGCTCCTTCTACTACAGACATTTTCCAGTAATTCCATATTTATTTGCTTTTTTGCTCAGGTACGAGACATTATCATTACCATCTGTAGCACCCACAGATAAAGACATAGTCCTTATCCTCACAAATTTAGAGTCTTTGGCTCTAACTGCAAACACTGCTATAAGCATATTTGTGCCCAGAAATAATATAATTGATGGAAAACACTGAGGATCTTTATTAGCATGTTTTAACAACAACAAAGCAATATTCTGTGCTTTAAGCTGGGCCTAAATATCAGAGGAACTGACAGTAAAATTTGCATTTTCTAACTACCAGCTCCTCCTTTTTAACTTAGAGCTTTAAAGAATGAAAAAATAAAAGGCTCTTTACAGCCCTAGCTATTAACACATGCTAATTAGAGCCCAGTACTCACACTTGATGTGGTTACTGTACACAGGCTCAGCCCCCAGCATATATTTGGCCTATGCTTAACTTGCTGACCAGGAATATCAGTTCCAAGTGATGGTATCTCTGAGCTGAATTCTCACTCAGACAAATTTACACTCTCTGCTCCCTTCATGGTGTGGCACAGTGATGGCATGTCCCCAAAAACTCAATCTGAGGGCAGAAACTAGCAGAAGAAAAGGACTAAGAGACAGTTTCTTCATCCCTGACTCAGTGCACATCACCATGCAAGTTTCTCCCATGTTCTGTTCTGTTCTTAAATTAACCAAATTTGCTGAAACCAAAGTGCCTGATGCATTATTTTTTCATATTTTGGCAATGATCATGTATAGAAATATGTCTCTACCATGTCGCTCCTGACTTTGATGAAATTATTTTGCAAAGCCAGAGGCTTGGAGCAGGGTAAGACAGAGTCATTGGATTGAAAGTCCTTATACTAGAGAAACTATAAGTCCCCTAAGTAATTTATTGTAGGCACCATTTTATGACCTAAAAAACCAATAAATTAATTTTTTCCCCAACGTAGTGGAAAATCTCTAAAAAAATCTTGAGCTATTTTGTTTCGCTTCTGCTCAAAGACTGTACTAAGTGTGCTGTTTTTGACACCACCACAGTTTACTTTTTTCTTGGGAATGGCACAGGTGGCCATGCAGACTGGAAGCAAGGTAAGGATGATGCAAGATTTCAAACAAGTTCCCATATAATCGATCATAAACTGATGATCATGTACACTTAAGTTGAAAATGTAAATCCATATTCTTTCCTGTGATGCTACTATGTACTAGTAAAGCTAGAGAAGTGATGGGAAATCAACAGTGATCTTACCTTTGGCAATAAATTTAAATGAAAACTGGATGTACACGGTATTAGTGCAATCTAGATCTCTTGAAACAAGCATTCTCAGTCCTTCCTGCAAATAAAGAATATAAATGTGAATCTCAGTTCCCATTATTGGAGATTTTCTGCATCTTACTGTTGCTTGGATGTTGTCTGTTACTGACTGCTGGTGGCAGCAAGAGAGGTAGTTGTCTGTCCACACCTTCTCCCAGGCAGAAAATGAGGACAGTGATAGCCTTGGCAAAGTAAGCCACAGTAAAGGAAAGGGATAGACATGGATATGTGTCCCACCAGAGGCAAAGCCACATGATTAGGTACAGACATAGGTACAGCTCATTCGGTTTGTGCTCTGAACCACTGGGATGTGATCTGATCTGCAAGCACTGACTTAGGCATTAAGTCCAAGCTGCTACACTCATATTTTATGCAAATTGTGTAGCAGCCAAGCACCCTAATTTCCAGGCAGGAACACGTCTCTCTAGGAGTTCTTTACTGTGCCTCTAAAAATATTTTCTAAAAATATGCTTCTCTGGGGCAACCTCTTGGCTTAGAACAGTAAGGAAAGGGTGCAGACAAGAAACCTCAGAGGACCCCTAAGGTCCTGTCCATTTGTAGAGATGAGCTCAATGTTGTGTGGATTCTGAGGCCACACCCAGTCAGAGATCTGGCAAACTACCTCTCAGAGCCTCCCTCTTTCTCAGACCCATTCCCCCAGTGGAACTATCTGCAGGAACAACCAATCCAAATTTTAGACAATTCAAATCTTGTGATTTGGGATTTAAATAACCTAAAGACGTTGAACTGGAGTCAAGGTTTTGCAGACAAATATTTCTAAAGAATTGATTTATACACCCAACTTCGCTTTTTTTGGGGTACCTGAATTCACTGTATCAAATGAAGACTCATGTGTGAGCTTAAAATTTGTGTGCTTATGTGAACAAGTCTTTCTATTATGCATTTTGTTGAAGAACTGAGAAGTCCAGAAAATATATTTTCTGGCCTTTTAAAATCTGTAGTTAGCAAAGAAGTATTTAAAGGGCTAGTAAACATCAAAACTATAGAACTGAGTAAAATACAGGCTAACTACACAAACACAGACTGCAGTCCTGACTAATTTGTATTATTCAAAATACTAAAAAGCCGAACAGGAGATTTCAAGACGATTGTAATGTGTACCATATTTCCAAATAGTTCACTTCACCTCAGGAATCTTGGTGCAGAGATTTTCTTTGGTGGTTAAGGAGGAATTTATTCCACAAATGAAAGTACTACCCAACAAACAGATGAAACTCATTTGTATATAAAAAAGACAATTGTGACAAACATAGTACATGTTTAGGGCAGGAAAAGACAAGAAAAATGAAAATGTCAAATTCTAGCCTAAAGACTTTGACATAAACATATGTGGAAAACAATAAAAAAATTATTTTCTGTTTTTAACTCTACTGGGTTTTATTCATTTTTTCAGTGTAAGTAATCTCTGACCCCTTTGAAAATGAGAGCTGTTCCAGACTTGATGGTATCACCATTCAGGTTTCCCCTCTCAGCACCGTAGACTTCAGGCCAAAGGTCTGGATGCAAGTTACCATTGAAATCATCCTTCAGGACAGATGGCAAAGGAAGGACTGGGACACAGTATGGACCTCCAAAGCCTCTGTCACACCTAGCAACAAATCGGGAGGAAAAGGTGTTATCCATCCAGCCTAGATAAAACACTGCTTTCTACAAAGCAGGTTAAGCAGTTTTCTACTTACATGCAATGACCTGAATCACAGATGCCGTGACCTGAGCACATCCAGGGGCACCCTGTAGCCAGGACCACATTATCGATAGCCCAAGAATCCACACCAGAAGCATAGTTGTACTGAATCCATCTGAACCGTGTTCTGGGAGAGCTATTAAAAGCAGAGTAAATGTGTTTCAGGATTCAAAATTTCTCCTCCATGAAGTGCTAAATAATGAAGAAAATCCCATGGACTTTAGGAGAAGAAAAGCATATTAATAAGCATGGCCCCCTTATTTGGAAAAGATTCATATTCCAGTTGAAACTGGAAGTTTCAATTTCTCAGGTTAGTTTTTTAGGCAAAATTCCAGCACATTCTAAATGAAGGTGCCCAATATGATAATTGAGAAAGAACACTGCTGTGACTCTTGCTGATCAGCAAAGTGGTTGAGCAGAAATGAGTAGTTCCATTAGCATTTGACAGCTCCATGTGTGGCTAGCAGAGTGGAAACAATAAAATTGCTTCAGTAAAGTAAGAGGTAATGAAAGTTCATTTATACTAAATGTTGTGTAAAGAGAAAAACAATGGTTATATATGTTCATATATATATATAAGATTTATATATATATATATAAGAATGTATGAATATATATGTACAAACATGCATGTGCATAGACACTGCTGTGCTTGCTGACTGCCTTCATATCCCCAAAAGAGGAAAGTATTTTGGAAAAAAAAATATTAGGAAGATGATACATGGTCCTCAGGAGTGAACTATGGAATTAGAAACCAAGATGTGAACCCCAGTCCTGGTTCAATTATTGTATGCCCATTTTTACCACCGTATTTTCTGGGTGATGAAATTTGCAGAGGTAATGTGTAGGGTGCTTTGAAGAATTACAGATCTATTCAGAACAATGGTAAGCAATATCACCATCATCTGTTATCTCTACCCTAGAGGTTTTATTTAGAGAGATGTACGCCAGCATATCTGCCACATCCAATTATAACCATATGAAATCACAAGGAGGCAGGCAGAACACTCCACCCGGTCTAAAGGGTGAGGGTGGCATGTCCAGTAACATGTGTTTTGACTTGCTGAATATCATGACTAACATGCCTATATGTTGGATGACAACTTACGTAGAATGACAGAAAACAGTACTATGTGAAAGGATGGTTTGAGCTATTAATTCTTGCTTCTTATTTCATAAATGTTAGAAAAGTTGGTTTAGCATTCTTGTTCTTACTGTCATAGATTACAGGCAAGACTTAGGAATTCACTCATCAAAGTTGCTACTTCTTTAAGTTCACATTATAGCTTATGAAATATTTTGAAGTGAAATTTAAAATTCTGGTGGCGTGACAACACACATTTAAAAATTTAAAAGACATGCAGAACATTCCCAAGCTGAGGGATGTTTGCTCAGATTAGATCAGCAAAACCTTTGTCATGCTAAACAGCCAGAAGAGCAGTGCTCACTTGGTTGAGGGTGGGAGGTAGACAGTAACTCTCTTCCAGTTCTGGAATCTTTCTGAAGTGTAGATGGAGCTCTCAGTGTACTGCTGACAGCCAATTGTTGGAGGGACACACTCCTCTGTCACCAGGTGCCAGTCTCTCCCATTGTTTAAAGAATACTGCAGGTGAATGCTATGGGAATTGCTGTATGGCTTGCTGCAACCCATGCTCAGCTCAAACTGCAAGAAAGTGGAGGCTGATACATGGAAGTCCCAAGTCTCAGCATAACGAGGTTTTCCTAAGAAAAGAGAGATAAACAACAACAAATCAGTATCCCTTTAGTATATGCTTTCGGTACTGTCATTCAAATTTTTATCTTTATCTTCACCTTTTCTCAGCCTTCTCTTCCCTGCAGATTACTATATGCCTGAATTTGTCTATACCTCCCATCTTATAAAACTTGACCCATAAATAATTTATAAAATGCACTCTTACAAAATGTAGCAATGTTTGATGACACATACCAATGTTTTCACTGAACATCAGAGCTGTATCCATAGACAGGCAGTCAATGTCTACTTGACCTCCTTGTATTCTGTACCAGCTTGCTTGTAAATCCACAGTTCCATCGAATTTATCCTGGAAGCCAGTCTGAGAGCTGTCATTCATCCCTATAAGGACATCATCCAAAGCCCACTGAGCTGAATGCTTCCCTATGAAAACCAGAACAGACAGGTTAGTGGAGTCCCTGTAAGTTGTTTTTTTCTGCCCATATGCTGTGTTCACCCAGTGAGCAGTGCTCAGTCTATGTGACTAAGGACTAAACATGACTTAAACAAGACTAAAACATCACTCAAGGATGCATCTGGACTCAAGAGTATGTTTCTATTACAGATAAACACAGTATTTCCCTCTTCTTTTCTTTAGCTTCAGTGCCTTTTCCAACATACACTCTCCCTGTATTTGAATGAGACACTCCCTGAGCCCCTAGATTGGGGATTTTCATTTTACAGGTTACAACTTTCCTGCCATTCCCCATAGCTAAATTGGAAAGGCCTCTGTCTAGTTCCCAAAGTAGCTTTTGTATAAAAGAGAATAATACACAAAAGAAAATGCTGTAGGCTCTGGATATAGATAATATTTATAGAAGTGATGTTCTCCTTCCTGGAAACCTCTCTTCTCTTGCTTTCCAGCCTACAGGCATTTCACTTTCATAATCATCTCCAGCCCATTGCTTCAGCCCTTCATTTCAATTCACCTATTTACTCGAATGCTGAAAAAAACATTTTACTGAACAATCACTGCCTTCACAGGAGAGGAAGGAAAGCCTTCACAATAAATTGTGAGCTTGCAGGTATGGGCCAGGAGTTTTGTCTTGCCACTATGAGGAATGTGGGTCATTGCTGATAGGGCCACTGTGCACCAAGGTATGGCAGACAAAGGACAGTCCACAGAGGAAATAGCATTTGTAATAAGGAATGGTTGTCACCAGTAGATGCTGGTATGGAAGGTGATATTTCAACCTCCAGTTATAAACTCTCCCTTCTACTGGGAGCCACAGGGCTGCTATCAGGTGGTCTTAGAGCCATCACTCTCAGCAAGGACAGATGTCATCCAGGTGCTGCCAGGGCAAGTGGCCATGAGGAGGACACAGATAGGGAGCAGCAGGTCTGACATGGCACCACTCACCAGTGCAAATGATTATCACAGAATGATGGTCTGTGGTGCACCAGTTGCTGCTGAGCACTTTTTCACAAAGGAACTGGCTTCTTAACTAAATAACATCCCTCTTGCCATGTCTACTCTCTTACCTAGTGAGGGCAATTAAGTCCAGCACATACATTGTAAGAAAATGTATGAATAAAATCAGCCATCAAAATGATAAATAATACCTAAGAAGCTGCATACCATAATTACCTGAATGTAAGCTGTGTGCTTTGCTCCCCAGGGAATTGCTGTTAAAATGTACTCTGCTGTATTTCTGAATATCGCCTTATTTTTCCTGTAGGGATCCGAGAGATGCTGCCTTGTGCAAAGGCAAGACAATCAGGACACTTTCAATAGTGGTAATGTGCCCTCATGCAAGGTGGGAGCTCTCAAAGTGGCTTTAGAAATCAGTCAGTACTGGGGTTTTACTTTGAGCTGAGGATGTGGGAAGTGGCTGAGTGGGTTTTGCAGGTGCTGCAGAAGGCAGGGATGCTTCTGGGGAGAGGAGGGGGTCCTGTTTTGGAGTGGGAGATATTTTTTTTTTGAAATGTAATATTCTTTCCCCCTCCTCTCTGTTATCTCAGCATCTTTAGTTTAAACTTAGCTCCTAAACAATTTTACTCTTAAGCCCACTCTTCAGCTTGGTGCTCTAAATGAGAATCACGCCTGCAGTGTGACTCAGGAAAGCCTAAATTTGCTCTTATGGCACCCAACCATTCAAAATATTGTATTTTTGGTAAGCTGAGGTTTCTGCAGAACATGTTCATATTGAGTAGCATTGGCATGTGAGTTGTGTAAAGCTGTTTAATGAATTTTTAGGATGGTCTTGCTTACCATGTTGTGGCTGCCACCAGCGGAAAGCAGTGGCAGGGGTTTTGGCCTCCCGAGGTAAGTCTATTGAAATAATCTGAGGTTCCAGGTATGACATGAAGTCCAGCTCTCTCAGCAAATGCCAGGTGATCCCATTGTCATTTGTGTATTGAACAACAAGCCCTATATTTAAAAATAAAACAAGAAGTTAGTCTCACTGTACAGAGCAAAGCTGGGGGCAATTCACCCTGTACTCAGAAACTGCCAACCCCCATCCAGTGCATGCCTTTTGACATCTCTCAGAACCACAGAATACACTGAGTTGGAAGGGACCCACAAGGATCGTCAAGTCCAGCTCCTGGCCTCACACAGGACCATCCCCAAAAGTCACACCATGTGCCTGACAGTATCATCCGAATGCTTCTTGAACTCTGTCAGGCTTGGTGCTGTGACCACTATCCTGGAGAGCTTGTTCCAGTGCCCAACCACCCTCTGGGTGAAGAACTTCTTTCTAAAATCCAGTCTATCTCCCCTATCCTTTTGGCATCTTCTGGTCCAGGAGCATTTTGTGGACAAAGTCTTACTGCAAAGGTGACATGGGTCACCAGCTGCCACACATTATCTTGCCTGTCTTCACCAAAATCAAAGGATCAAATCTTTTACAGTCTCAGTTGAAATGAATGATTGTACCACAGCAACGATAGGAATAATGTTACTTTTTTGTACAGTCAGTATTTATTTCATGTTGGGTATCCTTGAAGTTTGTGTGGGACACTAAGTTGTAATTCTGATAGCTGAACTCACAGTATGGGTAGCTCACAATTCCCATACTATGTATACAAGCTCACAGCATCCTTGGAAGTTAATTAGAATATTTAGACAATTTAAGATAGTCTTTCCATCATACACACAGTATGACAAATACTAGGACATAACAGAATTTTGAAGTCACTTATGAGCTCGTCAAAGGGGATAACACAAGAAAGAAACACCTATGTATACTACTTCTCTGAAAACTCTTTTATACTGGAGTATGTTCAAGGATAATGGACTACTTTTTTGGGTCTTATACTGGTGCAAATGAGAGGAGAATCAAACCCTCCATGTAATCTACACTACAAGATGACAGCTTTTCTCAGTGAGTCAGTGTCAATGTAAATGCCAAATATCAGGAAACGGTCCACCGATGTTAAGTGATTTACCCTGAGAGGAAAAATAAGTTTTCTCATCTACCAGATGTCTGGTCTGTCTTCATGCAACTAAACCACTTTACATGGTGAATCTGCTCCCAAAACTCTGCTGATCCCTCCCAAACACAATATCATGCCTCCCACCCCAGTAACTTTTAGCATGTGAGTAAAATAGGAGAGGAGGCATCAAGGAGAAATGAATTTATTCAGACTAAATAAATTTTCAGCTGCAGCTTTATAATTTCGCATTTTGGGCAAATTGTGCATAAGCTTGGTTTGGAAGGAAATTTTTTATTAGACCCACTGGTGTAGTTGAGAAACTGAACAAGTTTCAGGCACACAACTCTTCTTCATGGCAGAAATGGAGGTTGCCCACTTTATCCCAAACTTGGATTTCATTCCTTTTATTTCAGACCTGAAGAAAGTTCTGGCTACTTGTAAATTTTCCTATTTTCCAATACTATAAAGTAGTCTAATAGAAGTTATTACACCTTGTCTTGCAAACAATCTTTTTGATTTTTTTAGAGGCATCAAAAGGCAAAAATTCTGCAGAAGATGCAAAATACAAGAAGCTTATTATAAAGAAGTGAGGTTTTACCTTCATTCCTAGCTCTTGGTCTGTTGCAGGAGTTACCAACAGTCTTGCTTCCAATTTGTACATAAAATTGAACTAGTCTGTTAAAAAAAACAGTATAAAGAAGTGTAATTATCTTCTGACAGCACAAGATCAGTCAAGATAATTTCCCTCTCTTAACTAATGTGGCGTTATTGGTTAGGTCATTATTTCAGGCTCATTGATAAGGTAATGTTCTCAGAGAAATCAAACATGGCTGTGGTAAACAGTGGAGAACCCAAACCAGAAGAAAGTAATGTGGTTTATTAATACTGTACCTAATAAATGAATTTTTGGAGTGAGTAGCAGAATTTAGCAGTTCTGTCTCTCACAAAATGTGCAAAATCTCCAAAGCAGGCAAAGCTGCTCCTTACATCAGATCTTACCTTGGTTTCTTGTAACTGGAAATTAGATAAAGCTTAGCTATAGCATTAGAGTTCTAATAAAAAACTAAAAATAAAAACTAAAGCACCAATCTTTTTTTGATCCTTAAATTCTTGATGTAAACAATTTTTAGTGAAATGAGCTCATTGAACATTTTGTGGACCCTTTGATTTTGAATCTATACATTTTGATTTCATTGAATATCCTCTAGTTCTCACATTGTGAAATGGCAAAAAAAGTGTTCCTGATCTGCTTTTCTTGCAACTTGCCCCTGTAGTCAGTGCTTTTATCACTTCCCTACCTTCTCTTATTCCTTTCTACTGCAAACCATGGCAACCTTTTCATCTGTGTCTCTGCACGAATGTTTTTCCACATCCTCCGTTTTTGCAAAACTGCTTTCTGCAAGCCTTCTAAAGCCACAAACCCCTTTGAGACAGCCTGGCTGGTTTTGACAAAACTCTGGATTGGCCTGGAACATCCACATTTAGCTATATCTGAACTAATAATTATCCCATCTTTGTGCTCCAAAATATTGTTAATTTTTTTTTTCCAATCTGCAGTGATGCCCTCGTATTCTTGCTGAGCTGGTATTTTTTAATTGTGACTCTGTGGTTTCAGAGTAGTTTACATTTCCTGTTAGATGCGCACTGTCGTGCTATGTAGCAGCAATTAATTTCAATTAATGTCCTGCTGCTCGCTCACCAAATTTCACTGCATGTCTCAGACATTCATCTGAGTCTTATTGGGGCATAACTAACATAAAGAGCATTGAGATGACTGGGAATGCCATCACCCCCTCATCTACACCTTCTTCACAGGTTGTGTGCATTGCACACCCAAAACAGCACCTGAGCAGAGCACAGAAACTGGACTCAACCCCACAACGAGCTTTTGCATGCTGCAAGTTGGCAATGCCATTCTCCTCCTTGTTTCCCAGCCAGTTTTTAAATTAGGATGTTGAGAAACCAGGCTTCATTAATCCTATTGCCTGTAGATAACTTCTTTATTTAAAATACTACTTTTGAGGTGAATTTGTGTCTCTGTGTGAAGAAACAAGGTTTGATTTACCACTCAAATAACTCCCCACAAGGATAATTCTTTTTGCTTTAGGAAATTTGGTCCTAATTTTTGCAGTGACTTTGGTAAAAGCACAGACCAGCCAGGACTACAGCCAGAGTCAGTACGATGCAGACAGGACTCCAATTTCCCGCATCCTCTGCTACATACACAGTATCACGATGCTCTTCTGATTCTAAACCCAACCACATTTCAGTTCTGTTATCAAAATATGTATCTCCTATCTGAGATGCTTTGTATATCCACAGGGACTAGGACAAGCCTGAATATCCTCATCAATCTCATTTCTAACATAACCCCATAGATACCTCAAAAATCGTCAGGCTCATAGTACTACATCATTTAGCCAGGTAGGTCCTGTTTGTTTGCTGCAGCTCTGTTGTCTGAGACAGTATTAAGGCAATAAAACATCAGACAGAAGTTTCTGAGGTGAAAAGATTTACAGTCCTGTGATAAAATTGTCTTTTATGCTTGTCAAAAATAAAGATCATTACAAAGCAAAAACAAAGGACAAAAAAACCCCTTTCTGCAGAAGGTGATTCACCCCATCTGATCCATAAGTGTCTGACCCAGAACATCCCTGAGGTGGTTGTACAGTCATTAGCAACAGAGTCTGTAAAGTGGACAGGAGCCAAGACAGCTAACAAGCCAGATGTCACCACTTGGAAAAAATATATATTCCATGGTTTTTATCTAGCTGCCAGGTAGACACTGTGTGCAAATGCTCCTACTGAACAGATAGCGAAGTGTGTCATAAGGGACAGGACATCAAAATGGGAGGCAGTAGCTCATCAGCAACCAAAATTCATCCATGGATCAGATTGTCAGTTGACAGAGAAGGATAGAAATACTGCCAGCGAAATTGTGCCTTTGGCGTATTGGGCCATACAATAGGGAAGGGATGGAGGGGGTTTCTGAAGTGTAAGGCAAAAAAAATGATCTGGGGGAAATGAATTTTGACACAGCTCTCTTAGTGCTATGGGACACTCTTGATATCTGGGAAAAAAAAAAAGTGTAGTCAATCATATAAAGGAAAAAGGAGACACATAGGACAAACAAGGCTATGATTATGATATCACTTAATGTATATACTAAAAATTGAGTGGTTTTTTATGATCATTGGCTTCAGGGCACAAGCTTTAGTTTTAATACTCTTAGTGTGACATCTGAGTTTGGGAGTGTCCTGTTGGGCTGCTTCCCTGAGCAGCACAACACACCTTAGGCTGGCAAATCTCAACCCTCTGGAGCAGAGTGAACCAGGAACACTGAGCCCCACTGGACTCTGCTCTGCTGGGAAGAGAACAGTGAATGGGAAAAGGGTCTTTGTACTTGAAAAAAAGAAGAAAAATTATTTACATTCCTTACATAAAGTTTACCCTTTACATTCAAAAAGCTGTAACTGCAGCAAGATGATGGGGAACATGCATAGGTAGATCTGCAGCAACTGCAGAATGAAAATAAAACTTTAGTGTCTTGCAATATTTTTCCATTTTTCAATCAGGTTCTTCCATGGCTGATTTAACAAAACAAGATCTTAAAAGGTCTGGGAAAACACTATTAACCTGAAAAATAAGCAGCTTAAAAATCTACTGCAGGAGTCTCAGCCTTCCTATTCACAACCCTCAATCCACATATCTAACAGTATGTCTTTCAAGGCATATTTTCCTGCTGTTTACCCAGTCACCAAAACCTCCCAACCAAAAAGCCCTTGCAAAAATAAAAGATAACTGTGCAGGGGCTAAGATGACCCCTAATAAGATAGCTGAATTCTATGCAAGGCATTATTGAATGCAAAAAGTAATACCAAAATGGGAAAGAGTGCTTCCCTCTAATCTCCTCTTTCAAGTGATATTAATTTTAGCTTCAATAATGAAAAAAAAAATTCTAGGCTGAGGAATTATTTTCTTTTTACAGGATGGGTCTTTCAGTTAACCCCTCACACCCTCACAAACTTAGTCTGCCTTTACTTCTAGTAAAAAAAGACCCAGTTTATGTTACAGTTGGAATCAAACATTAAAGTGGCATGCATCTGTTCAAAGCAAGATGTCTGAAGCTGAATGTCTACATTATACATGGCCAACATAGATTGCCTTATAATTAATGAAAGAAAGAAAGACATGCTTCCAGAAGACACAGCACTGGCCTTTGCTAGACCCTATTTTAGGAAGAGTTGTGTTGCCCTTTTGAAGCAGCTATTCTCTTCTTGGAACACAAAAGCAGACTGGGGTAATTGCTGTAGTCTAAAGAGTCCATGCAGCATGAGGTGGCTACTACCCTTTAGCACAGACTGAAGAAAGCAAAAAATCCATGTTAGTCCCATTTGTATTTTGAGAAGACCACTGTGTTTGCTCTGTCTAGCAAACAGCTCAGGGTTGTGGCTTTGAGCTTCAATTGTTGAAGGAAGGTAACCTCCTCAGCGTGATGCTTAAAAAAAAATAAAGTGTTGATGTATTTTGAACAATCAGTTGCAGCAGGAGAGCAGCTCACACAGCGAGTACATGCTCAGAGGAGAGATCTCAGTTGCTTTTATCAAGTGTCCGTCTGGCCATTTATGTTCTAGGTGCAGTTTTAAGACCATGTTTGTGACCATGTTCTTGCGCAAAACAGAAGCAGTGATAGATTAAAAAAGTCAAGAAAGAGAATTGCTCAGTATTTCTAAACTTCTTTTGGCTTTTAAAATGGCTCAAACTCTGCAAAAAAGGAAAGCTATAAGTATGAATATCTGGCATTAAAATTGGTTTCAAAGTAATATTAAAGCTAAAGGAAATACTTTTCTTTTATAAGAAGATTTCTCTGTGAAAGAAGGAGTAGCTCAAAAATACTTTTTGAATATAGACTTCTTGATGATGTGGTTACATCATGGATGCTTCACAGGACTAACAACAGGTGCTTTAAAGATGGTGGAACAGAAATGCTCAGATCTTCCCAGAGTTCCCAGAGACAAACATGTGCTTGTCCAAAGCGTATTTGTCAAACAATTAATTATTCTAATTATAAACTAATTAAAAAACTTATATAAATATATTGTGACAAGGCAAGCAGGGGACAGAGGAAATGCAGCTGGTGCTGTGCGGGGCAGTGCCGGGGAGCAGCTGAGGATGTCCCCAAACCTGCAGCACCTACACTGCCCTACAGAGCACTGCTTGCCTGAGCTGGAGAGTGGCAGCAGTAACTTGTGGCCAGACTTTGCTGAGTGATGTCACAAATTAAATAATGGAGCAAATCATGGCATTACTTACTCTCAGAACAGTATTTGTCAGGAAAAGTATCTTTTATTAAGCCAAATGGCATAATTGTAGGGTGTGCAAGGTTTCAGGTGGGAGATCCCTTATGAGATTGGACAAAGCACCAGCAAACTCCAGACTAAACAGTGGTTAGAATTAACAGCTCTTTGTTTATTCTAATTATATTAATCAGTTAGACAATTTGAGAGAAGAGGATAATTGCTGCCAATGGAGCAGGATTCAATGGCAGCAGGGAGAGAGGTGAAGGCTGGTTACCCTCTTGGCTATGTAGAAATAATTCACATTCCATTCCTTTGCACTTCTGACAAGTAAACTAATTCACAACATCTGGCAAGTAGACAAAAGCTCCTTGCTATGCCATCATCATGCCTGCAATTCAACAGAGTCAGCAGAAAAGGAGTTTTTCTCTCCAGTTCTGGGCAGAGTCTTAGTTTTTGTGCATTCTCAAGACCATGTCTTGTGCCTGTCCACCTAGAATACAATGCAAACTATCTTCTCAGAAGGATAGAGAGTTAATATTTTATGTTGCTATTCCACTGTTCCTAACCTAAGTATTCTCTTTCAGAAGAAGGAAATAGTACATCAGAATGAAGAAAGAAGTATTTTTTTCTGCCTTTAAGATTTCTTGTACAGACTACAACTGCCAGAAAACCACTTCCAACCTTTTCACATCTACACTTGCAACAGGGCAGAAGAGACAACATGAATACACAGGCAATTGTGAGAAGCAGCACTGAGGATTGACCTGATATTTGTGGTGTCCAGGGGAACAGTCCTCGCCTCCCTTTTGCCGGGTCCGTTGAAGTACAGAGATTTTCCATCGCTGAGCACACCACAGCCTGTCCCAACCTGACCTCCTGTTATCTTGTACCAGAGAGGGCTTAGCTTCCTCTCAAACCTGTCGAACATCTCACTGTGATTAGGCACATTAGACACACACGTTCCATGCGATGCTTCAAAAAAGAAAAAAAGAGGGAAATGCTTTGTTGAAACTGTGCTGAACAGAGTAAGGGTCAGATACAGTACAGTGGCAAATGGTTCTGTTGCATCCACATGCAACAAAGCACTAGGCTCTTCTAAGAAAATGCCCTGATGATTGTACCTTTTCAAACCCACTTTACAAATTTTTGAATGCAGAATAAGCCCTCTTCCTCTAAACTCTAAGATGGCTTATTTCACTAGGTGAAAAATAGCCATGCATTATGCTGATAAGGCATTTTTTGTAAATAGAAAAATATTATCCTTTTATTTTATTTTAAACAAATCGAACAAAAGATGTTAGCTTATTGCTTTGTTGGTATAGAGGGTTGAAAAGAGTGCAGTGTACAACTGGTTGTGTCAATCACTGTTTTTTTCATGGGTTTTGGATTTTCTTCTATTTCAGCATAAAAGCACCTGAAACCAAAAGTGAGCAGAATTTTCCACAGAAGGGCCTGTCAGAGCATATGTTCCCTCCTGGTCCCATGCCATCTGATGGCCAGGGGACTCAAAAATGGCAAAGATTCTTTTGAAGATGATCCAAATGCTTTTAAGCAGACTTTTCAGCTTATAATGTTTTATTTTGTTTTCTCTTTTATTGCTAGTCCCTTCCCATTCATGCAGATGGTGATGTTCAAAGATTGCAATTGCCAGAAACATCAATGGTGTCCGCTGCCTTCAGCTGCTCCACTTTGCCTGTGCTGAATTTTATTTAACAAAACAAAAAGATTCTGGCTGGCAGCCCACGAAATATACGTCATCATACATTTTTCCAGAATACTGGAGAGGAAAAACAAGATGCTAGATTTGCAGCTTTAAGTCAGCCAATGCTTACTATAATCCCATGTGAAGAGGGCTGTCTTACCTGTGTAGCCCAGGTCACAGAAACAGACCCCTGAGACACAGTCCCCGTGGCCATTGCAATAGTTGGGGCAAGGCTCAGAAATGTAGACGCCGTCTAAGCCGAAAGGAGGCACGCTCTTGTGGGAGCTGCTCTCCTGGATCCAGCGGAATCGAGTCTTACTGTAGAGAGACAACAACAAAGGACACGGTATTACTATTCCCAGCTTCAATATCTGCTGCTCCGTGTTTAAGATTAAAAGGATCTTTTCCTAAATTTGCCTTTTGCAAATAGGATGCATGAAAAATAGTTCTGACATCCTACAGTTTTTGTCCAGCATTGCTTAAGGATATTTCTTCCAGATTTTTTGGATGCATTTTGACTTCCTCTATTTCCCTAGCCTGTATGTACCAGTGTGATGCAAAGAACAAACACATGGTTTTATCAACAAAACTGAATGATTAGACGTGACTCTGAAGATGCCTTTTACTACTCAGTTCAATCTGAACAACTAATTACATATTAAAATCCCAGAACTCAATTTCTTACAGCATGAACTTTTCTTACAGCATGAACTTTTCTTACAAAAAGAACTCAGTAATGGCAGTGATGCAGAGTTTGCTATGGGATTTGACACGTTTAAGTAAAAATTTTCAAGTTATTTTGATACAAAAAAAAGCCACTTTCTAAAAATAATGGCAAATAACATGTCCTACAGGACATGAGCACAGAAATACTAAGTTTTTATTCTTGGATGACAACACGAAATTCCTAGAAAACAGTGATTTAATCCTTAACTTATATAACTGAAGCTGCTCCAGAGAATTCAATGAGCTAACACTAAGTTACTCCAGCTGATCCACTGCATAGGAAATTTATTGAAGAAAAAATATTTTGGTTATTCATTTTCAGTATTTAGCTTTTAACTAAATCATTTTATAGGAGCTCCAGAGAGGGGAAGAGATTTAAAATCTCACTGCCAATCTAATGGATTAACTAAGATTCTCCTTTCTACTCTGCCTAAAATACGATAAACCTATTGCTTCCCTTTTTCTGCTGTGCACTGGGATTTGGTAGGTAGGTGATCATCGTGCTCGGGCTCTGTACCAACTGATGAAATGCGAGCCCCTCTGGTTAACCCATAAGCCACAACTTCTGAAGTGACCCACAACAAATCCAGTTTTCAACATGCCAAGAGCCTCATTGGAGTCACAATACTTACATTTTTAATGTATTAGCATCAGCTTCTTATTCCTGATCACATTACTGAACATAATGCCAAACAGATTGCTGCTATTGATTCTGCACTGCTTGTTTTGGGTAAATCAAATCAGCTGGTGTCAGATCTGTGCAATTTGGCACCTGCTTTTATTGGCTAATTACTGAAGAAAAGACAAACTTGTTATGGTACACGCTGCTATTTCGAGTCCTTGCAGCAAAGGCATCAGCTCTCCTGCTACAAAATATGCCACACACTCAAAATCTGTGCCTGGGCTTGAGGAGGATGAGTCCATGGCAGAACGATGGGGCTGAAACCCCAGGGCAGCACTGGGGCAGTTGCCTGGGGGGTGAGAGGCAGGAGGCAGCAGGGACATGGCCAGGGGCTCAGTGGGGACAGATGCTGGCAGCGCTTGGTGCAGCCAGCAAATCGGATTGGGTTGTTTTACTGCTGGGGTAAGACAGAGAGTAAGAGGAGTGAGAAACTTCAGTCAAATCCAAGTGAGATTGAGAAAAGCTGCCTGATTTCAAGGCTTATTTGTGTCTTCCAGCATCTGATATTTTCTCACCAGTATTAACCCGATGCTGAGGTCATGCTTGCAGGTGAGCACACCTATTATTCCTCCCTGTTTTGCCTTTGGCTCTCCTGGCCACCCTCAGTGACACAGCACATCACACAACAGCCCAAATACCTTTCTAAGGTTTCTTTGCCCAGTGGTAACTAAAATTAATCCTGTTCAACTGGCTTATTTGATTCATGTGACTTATTACACTCTTGCTGGTGCTTCTGACCTAACTGATATATATAAAGACAGATGATGGTTGATGTCAAATTAAAATGTGCTGGGTGCCTTGCTGCTTTGTAATTTAGTTCTATAGAACAATCTGACACCTTTAAAATGGAAAACATCTCCCTATTTTGGGGAGCACAGTATATTTTTCCCAGATCTGCCATTTTTTAAAGCTGCTTTTATTCACAGCTTTGCAACTTTTTCCCAGTGTGGCATCACAGAAGCAGCAGCTAATTCATGGGTCCCACTGGCATCACTGGTTTACAATGCACAGTACCTGGCTGCAAGCGACCTGGGGATAACAATAGTAATCCTTGTCCAGTCCTCAAAGTCTCCCGTGTGGTACACGGTGGGCTCGCTCAGCTCCCGGGAGCTCCCTTCGCACCCCTTCATGCCCGGAGAAGCAGGGTAGCAGCCCTCCTTCACCAGCGACCAGAAGAGCCCAGCATCATGTGAGTACTGAAGCAGAACGGGAGCAGAGCTGCTGTACTGGTTGGTGCAACCAATGTTCAGCTGCAAAAAAAGCAGAGCATCAGATATGAGCTGAAGAAACCTGCACTGTTATTAGTATTTATTGTCTGCAGACCACCTTTGACTTTTTGGTTTGGGAGGCTTAATGCTCCAAACACTTGCTTTGAAACCCTGAGCAGGGGTTGGTAGGACTGAGGGTAGGACTCTGTTTCCTACATGTATATGACGTCTCAGTAAAAATTCCCACTATCCCTTCATTAAGGCTGCCGAGTTCAGCACACCAAAAGGTGCAAAGAACTTTTCAAGGCTCTCTGTGCGTAGCATGCCCCAAACAGCAAAATCTGCACAGGCACCTCTGTGCCCAAGAGTGGGAAGAGCTGTATACTCTGAGATCCTTCCCATCTGCAGTCTTCCCAGTGTGACCAGAGGATCAGTCTGACTCCCAGGTGAGCCCTGACCACAGCCTTGTCATTGGCCTTGCAGGAATGATGTCTGGGAGTTGACACTGCAGCTTGGGCCCTCAGAATAGAGTAAAATTGGATTAAGTAGAAAAATGCATATTAAAATGTGAAAAGAGAATGTAACCAAGACAAAAATCGACTGCTGATTTGAAGTTTTCAGTTTCATTTTTCAAGCTATAAGAAAAATATTAGTTTTCATTATTTTCCTGCAGGAATTCTACTTGAGCTGTAGAATGTAAAATGTAAAACAAAATAATTCATGTAAAATGAAATAATTCTGACAAATTGCTGTCTTTGAGTTTATCAATGCAAAATTATTCCAGCTTGCTATTTAAAATGGAAATTTCACAAACTTACAGAAGCATTTAACCGTATGCTTAAAATTAAAGCATGCAAATAAGACGAACACATTCATGTGCAGGCTGGTTTAAAAGCTTTCCAAAAAAGTCTGAATTCAGGCCTTAAATGATAGACTTTATAAAGAAGAACTCACTGTTTTGTGATACATGTTGTTTATGTTTTGTGTATTTGTGTTACATTGCCAAGTGCTTCAGTGATGAAACGTGTATGAAACATTTTTAAGTATTGATTTTTTTAGCCTAAAAATTTTTTTAAATGCTGCTGCTCATCAAACCTACAGAAGGGAGACTTAGTCACTGAAGTAGAGGAAAGTGGTGAAGAGGTAAATAGCATCTTTTTTCAGGCTAAATAGTATTGATACATTGAGATATTTTTGTGTCTTCGTTTAAAGTATAAAACTACAAGCAAAACTCACTCAGAAATTGTACTGAAATCCCTCGGTTTGTATAGCATTTCATTAGCATAACTTTTAGATGAAATGAGATTATTTTACAAATCCCATTATTTCTAACTAACTTTCCTATTTATAGAACTGTGGGAATTATATTTGAAAAGCTGCCTGTAAACATCTGATCTCTTTAATAATTCCACTTGTAAATTATTCAGTGTCTGTATCCACCAATTATGTAAGGACCATGTATTTGTGGTGAGCTCATTAAAATTGCATTGCAACCAACCTCCAGAATTCACCAATGGGATTTCATTATAAACTCAATAAAATTTTGATTAGGGTTCAGAAACAAGAGCTTGTCAAAGCAAATATACTTTCTTTGGAGCCCATATTCTGATGTATTGTCAGACCACTGAAATTTCTGTAAGCCCTTTAAAGAGGAAAATGCTAATTGGAGCCTATATTCATTGACACAATGAAGTAAATTATATGAAAAACCCACACTGGAGTACAGAGCAGCTTGTAAGTCCTTAAATAGTTTAAAATACAAAAATGTACGCAAACCACATTGGAGCTTTTGTACTCATGGAGCCCCAGACGGGATAAATCCTTTTTTGCTTGACATTGCAGTAGCATTTCCTGGTACTGACTTGAATACAATGACAGTCACTTCAACCCACTTGTGAAATGTATTGAAGAACAAAAAGCTTTAAAACTTCTCCAGAGGGGTAAAAACGCTCTCCTGCACCAAGGCTTTGGCTATCCTTCCAGAAAGCAGAATGGCATTTTATGCTGTTTGAATTCCATACTTCTGCTCTTCACATCTTCCTATACAATGGTCTAGTTTATCACGTTGATTTGAACTGTGGCCACAGTGGCATCTTGCAAGTATTGACTAAGGGCAATTTTAGGGATATTCTTGCAGGGATTTATGTTTCAGGAATACCTTGAACTGCAGGACGTATCCAGGCTTCAGACTTAAATCTCGAGTCACTGCAAACCGGTCTCCATCTGATTTACCAAAGAGCATGGCAGAGGGCGTGGCAGAGCAGAAACTTTCATTTTTGGTCATCCCTTCGTTGGCCAGCATTAACCACACACTCATCTGGTTCATAGGGTAATCGAATGCTGGCTTTTCATAAAAGTTCTGTTAGAAATGAAAAGGAAAGCCACAAGTACTATCACCTTGCAGTGTGACTTCGGAATAATTCCCAAAATTATCAACTTTCAAATTTTGCAATTTGTATTTTCTGTCATTTTCAAAAAATTGTAATTTCCAAAACTTCAGTCCCGACTTTTTGAGGAAATACATCATTACATCCTCTGTCACAAAGATTAGGAGCCTGATGATTTTGTGACAAGACCCAAGTTATTCCCACATAGAGACACAGCTGCAAACACTACAGATGCTTCTTTAAATAGACCCAACATTTTCAAAGAAAATTATATTCAAACAAATGTCTCCTAACAGAGAGGATGGTCCCTGGTTTGTGGGGATGCCCAGAGCCTGCTCTTGCTTATTACCTGTGGTAAAGTGGGATTAACAACAGGAATGATGTGCTTCTGCTTCTCTGACAGGATGATGATGTCATCGATGGCCCACTGATCATACCCTTCCCCTGAAAACACGGGCTGCCACCAGCGAAACCTAGTGCAAGGTGTCTTGGCTGCAGCTGGCAGCTCCAGATAGACAAACCTGAAGAACAGAAGTGAAGCAGAACTTTAGAGAGCACAGTTTGTAGAGAAATGTACCACTGAAGAGGGAAAAGGGGCATCTATCTTACAAGTCCAAAGTCATTTGCATTTCCAAAGAAGGGCAACAAAGCTGACAAAGGGTCCAAGAGAGTAAGTCATATGAGGTGTAGCTGAGGGAGCTGGGGTTGTTTAGTCTGGAGAAGAGGAGGCTCAGGGGAGATCTTATCACTGTCTGCAACCACCTGATAGGAGGCTGTAGCAAGGTGGGGGTTGGCCTTATCTTCCAGGCAACCAGCGACAAGAGGACATAGCCTTAAATTGTGCCAGGGGAGATTCAGATTGGACAACAGGAATAATTTCTTCACTGAAAGGCTGGTTAAGCATTAGAACGGGCTGCCCAGGGCAGTAGTGGAGTCACCATCCCTGAAAGTGTTCAAAAAATGACTGGATGTGGCACTTAGTGCTATAACATGGTGGTGTTCAGTCAAACACTAGATTCAATGATCTTGGAGGTCTTTTCCAACCTTAACGATTCGATGATTCTATTATTCTAACCTCCTATATATCTAGATACCTATTTATACACTGCATATGAAGAAGCTGTCTTTATCCTTCCTGTCTGTGGAAAATGTAAACTCTTTAAGAAAATGTCTATTTTTTATGATCTATTACTATATTGCCAAGCACAATAAGGAACTGATTTGAACTCTGCAGCTTTGAATTAAACTGTTCAGCTGATCCATGTTCAACAAGTCTTAATGTTCTTCTGGTGCCAGGAAGTAATAGTGAAATATGCTGGCAAAATTAATTTCTCATTCTCTTCTGCTGATTGGTCCTATTTGTAGAAAAAAGCATCCTTCTGTTACAATGCAATAGATTATGTAGCAGAGCCTTCTTCTGCGGGTAAAAATATTTCAGCCCTCCTATACATATGTTTATAAAAGAACTTGAGTTTGTCTCAGTTTGCTTTATGTTTGACTTAGGAAACATCTTACTAAAATGATGTTAAATAAAAGTTAAATTTTCCAACCTAATCACACATGTCAAAAGTACAATAATTAGTTACTTTCTCAATCCTGTTTAAGACAACTTACATATATGCATTTCTAGATACAATATTTTTGGCACTCTTTCTTTATATCTCATGTTATTTTGTGTCATGGACTCTGCTTCATTTGCCAGTGAGGCAGAGATAGGAGAAGAAACTGTTGTTTTCCAGAGGATTCCGAGATTTATGTGTTGGAGAATAAGGAATTGTCAAAAAAGATCTAGACTGCATTTGAAACAGCAGGAAAATAAATCTGCATAGCTATGTTCTGTAAGGACCATCACTCTTGATTGCTCAGAAGGGCAATATTTTGTCTAAAACCAATGTATTGGATAGCCTAGTGATGAAGGTTTCAGTATTTAGGTTCTTTGTTGAGTGTGTCCTGAAGGGAAGGTGGTAGCTGTAGTTTTTCTGGATTTTAGTACGGCTTTTGATAGTGTACCTCACAGCATCCTTATGGACAGGCTGTCCAACCGTTGGAAGAGTGGTTTCAGGTTATGCTGGGTGAAGACCTGGTTGAAGGGCAGAATTCAAAGGTTGAGGTGAATGGGGCTACATCTGGCTGGTGACTGGTCACCAGCAGTATTCCTCAGGGTTCAATCCTAGAGCCACTCCTGTTCAATATGTTTCTCAAGGATCTGGATGCAGGCATTGAATGCACCATTAGCAAGTTTGCTGATGATACCAAAATGGGAGGTTGACTCTCTTGAGGATCAAGAGGTCTTTCAGAGGGATATTGACAGATTGGACCATTGGGATTGCTTAATGGGATGAAATTTAACAAGTGGGAATGTCAATTCTGTGCCTAGGATGGAGTAACACTGAGCACAAGTATAATCTGGATGTGGCTGGAGATCAGCCCTGCAGAAAGGGATCTGTGGGTGCTGGTCGGCAGCAAGTTCAAAAAGTGTCGGCAGCAAGTTCAAAAGGTGTCAGGAGCATGCCCTGGCAGCCAAGAGGGCAAATGCGGGGTGCACCAAACACAGCATCACCAGCTGCTCAAAAGAGGTGATTGTCCTCCTGTATTCAGTGTTGGTGTGACCTCACCTTGAGCACTGTGTGCAGTTCTGGGCCCCTTGGTCTGAGAAGGATGTGAAGGTCCTTGAATGCATCCAGTGGAGGGCAACAAAGCTGGTGAAAGAGCTGAAGGACTTATGAGGGACGGCTAAGGATATGGGCTTGTCTAGTTTGGAGAAAAGGAGGCCGAAGGGTGACCTCATTGCTCTCTACAGCCTCCTGAGGAGGGGATATGGAGAGGGAGATGCTGAGCTCTTCTCCCTGGTATCCAGTGGTAGGACTCATGGGAAAGGTTCAAAGCTGTGCCAGGGAGGTTTAGACTGGACACAAGGAAGCATTTTTGTTCCAAGAGTGTGGTCAAGCACTGGAACAGGCTTCCTAGAGAAGTAATTGATGCCCCAGGCCTGTCAGTGTTTTAGAGGCATTTGGACAATGTCCTTAATAACACACTTTAACTTTTGGTCAGCCCTGAAGTGGTTGGGCAGCTGGACTGGATGATCACTGTAGGTCCCTTCCAACTGAAATAGTCAATTCTATTTTATTCTATTGTATTCTAAACAAAATTCAATAGTTTTATACTTCCAAGTGCCTAGATGGCCTTTAGAAAAAGACAGTCTGCCAAGTTACAGAAGTCCTTCTGAAAGCGTTGTTCATTGCAATGCAAAATGACAAGATGGGAAAATAAAATTATTTGCATGTTGAAAGACATGGATGATAGGTAACAGAAATAATGTTAATACTTATGCAGACAACAATTTAAATTTTCACTGGCAAGGTATCTTACAGCAAATTTGAAATGCTGAACATGAATTCTTCTCTTCCTTAAATACTTATTTAAAGGAGCTTTTGTTTTATGTGACATTAATACATGTTCGTTAGATTTGAAACCAGAGTCAGAGGAAATGGCAGATTTCTACACCTCTTTTGGGCAAGTTCTGTATTTGCTTGCTAATGTTTTGCAGATATTAGAATTTTAGTCAGGTTTCATATGGGAGGTAATAGGAAACTTTACATTTTACTTCAGTTTTTAAAGGTCCACTTTCATTACATTTTTTATTCCTAGTGACAGGAGTTTACTGTGGGAGCCTGAAAAAGTTTCCATATATTGATGGCTTTAAACATTATAACCTGAAATTATTATTCATGTTTTCATAAATTGAGAAATATTTTTTTAAAAGCTGATGCAGTATGAATATAATTTAGACCAAAATTATACCTGGGTTTGCTGAAGTCAGAGAAATACATTTCTGCTAGTAGCTGCCAGTTGATACCACCATTATTGCTGTACTGCAGCAGCACACCTTCTTCTCTGCTGTCAGGTTTATTGCATGAAGAACTGTCTCCTCCTATTTGGATGTAAAACTGTACAAAATCCACCCATGTTGTGTCCAAATCCCAGCTTACCAACTGTCTTTTTCCAGCCTACGATACAAAGAACAGACGGCAATAATAATTTTAATTATGACACCTTCGTTATGAATAGAAATATTTAAAATTCAACACAGATTAATATTGCACAGAAAATTACACAACATGGAGAACATTGAATTTTGTGTTAATTTGATCTCTCGGTTATTCTTTTTGGCCATCCTTTATGTCTTAATGACCCTGATATGATCCCACAAGTATTTTTATTACTAGATTTCAACATACAATGCAACTACACAACATGATTTCCACACAACTATTTCATCTCATTCCTTCAAGGTCCCAAGTACATCCAGAAGATAAAGAGCAGATGCTGGATATCCTGAACCAACCAGGGTTAAATTTTTAAGTTTTCAGCTTTTTAACGATAACGCTCAGAGATGTAAAAGGCTATTTCTGACATCTCATCTCCCCACTTAAATCTTGCACTGCATAGGGTTACCTGATCACCTGAAATCAGCCCCTATAATACCTGTTGCTTGAAGCCCACTTCCTATACAAGAACTGGGGCTTGGCATTTTCTCTTCATGTATCACCCAGATAAGATTTGTTCCTACACAAAACTATGCTCTTTTCCTAGTAAGTATTGTAAATCAGGAACCTCTCAAATAAAAACTGTGGATTTGGTTTCACGTTTACCTAAGCACAGCTGAGAGAAAAAAACAGCCTTGTAAAATTTAGTGAATGGCTTTTCCAAGACCGTTTTTGAGTTCCAGCAGGTCAGTGTGGTCACTTTGTGCATGACAGCAAAGGAGGACTGAGCATATTCATCTAAAAAAAAGCTTTAAGGTTTAAAAACCTTTTTTTTTTGTAACGGGAATTATCCCATACCCCTCTTCCCTTTGTGCCCTGGTGCTTGAAGCTGAACTTGTGGGCTTGCACATCAACAAACCTACAAGATGCCGATATGCGACATGAAGCTGCCTGCAGCAAGGCAGGACACAGGACAAGAGCAGTGTCCCCATGGAGGTGCCCTGCATGCCCTGCATCTGACACAACCCTGCCCCAGCACAGCACCATGATGCCCCAGGCTTTTACAGGTAAGCCAAAGCTGTATGTGTGCAGCCAGAGGGAGGATGCAGGGATCATATTTCTGCATTTATTAAAGTAGCTGCAACCTGGCACCACCCCCCAAAATGGAGCAGAACTGTCAACATGTCCACTGTTTCTGATTCCCTAAAAACTCATGGGTTTACCTCATAAAAAGGTATCAAAAAGGAAAACCTGGGCTAAGTTATATAATGATGCCTATGTTTTAAGCAATATTTTTCTTTTCTCTATCACTTGTACATTTATGATCTTCATGGTAAATTTCCGGACAAACTTGAGGTAAGCAAGTAACGTGATCTAGCTGAACACAAGGAACAAGATTATGAGCTGAGATTTAAAATACCATCTGTGTTTTTTAAGGATGATAGATGAATTTAAATCTTGTTTGACTAACCACCTCTTTCTACCCAGTTCAGGGTAAACCCAGCAGATAAATGTATAGTGCTTTCTTTCTCAGAACGTTTTGCTTTGCTGGTGTAACAGCCTGGGTCCATAGCTCATTTGCAGACCCTACCAAAAAGGCCACCTCACACCATGAGACTAATTTCCAGAAGCTGAACACATGTGGGTTTGAAGCTCAGTTAGCTTGCACCACTGATGACAACTAAAACCTGTGAGGCATCCTTTGACTCTCAAAAAGCTCATATAGATACAGTCATACTGATTTGGTTTTGAATGTTGCCTGCTGTCTTGGTTTATTTGCTGGTTTATTCCCAGCTGAGCGAATCCCTCCTGGATGGTGCCATGAGAAGAAGATGAGCTCAGTCTTGGGCGCAGCCCTGAGCTTTCCAGTGCAGCCTCAGATGGCTGGCCAAGGTGACACTGATAATCTCTTGGTAGTTTACTTTCACAGCTTCGTTTGGAGACTCACTGTAATTTGAAATAATCATCATCAAATCAAACCAGTAATGGGTAATAATGATGCAAACACCCTTGCTGCCCCATGGGCAGGTGTTGCCTGGCTGGCTGAGCGTACCCAACGAAACTATTGCAAGTGGGTTTTCCACACACCCCAGAGAAGCTTTGCCTGCCAAAGGGGTAATCACAGAACCAGGTTAATTAAGAAAGGGCACAAGTGGCATAAAACCTCAGAGGAATTGCAGAGGCTAATTGAAAAAGCTTTGTACTGTAAACACGCCCACAATTGATTAAAATGAGTTGTAAAACAAAAACAGAGGGTTATCAGAACACAGCCAACATTAATTCTGGCAGCAGTAATTGATTGTGGCAGCAAACATTAGACATTCAAATAAAAAGTGGCTGTTTGAGCAAATGAAAAGAAATGGAGCCCGTGAATATGAGTTCCCCAAAACAATACAGAAATGTTGGGCAACTATAAAAATAATTTTTTGTTATACACCAGCATGGTCACTAGACACCTTGAAAAAGATCTAAACAGAAATTAAATAAACCACCTTCTGTTGACAGCACACAGACTGCTACTACTCCAGAAATGAATGATAACCTAACCCTTAGAGATCAATAGAAAGAAGCCAAGAATTTCTAAATGAGTTTTTCACTCCTCCTTAGCAAAAATCAGAAGAAAGATCATAGCAGGTTCATTCTAATTTAGCAAACTACTTTTGAGAAACTTGGCATAAGGAACTGAGCCAGAAGGAAAAACATCTAACAGAGAAGACAATTATATAAAAAAATCCAATTATCACAATTAGCTAGTTATACTGATTGGTCTATTATAAAGTTTTCAGTGCAGAGCTGTATTTCCAGGGGAGTTGGATGTGAGACTATGTAGGAGTGCTGAAAATTATTTCATGGGTTAGATTTTTGTAATGAGGTAAACAACACACAATTACACAGCATTGCATATTGGGTTATTCTTCTGGGACTAATCTGGCTCTCATGACAGCAATGGCAGTGTGATCAAACCTTTAAAAGAGAAGCACATAGCTGCATTTATACTCTTCCTTTCAATTAAGAACAAAACAAACCCTAGTACTAGACCCGAGGAAGAACAATAAAAAAAATAAGTCTGTGATTACAACCCGTAATCTTACATCTGGTAATAAAGATATCTTTTTATTTTAGTTATAATTGCTATTAATTAGCAGAATTCCCTATATCTCTTTTCTGTTCTATTATTTTTTGTCTGCAAAGCATCCAAGTTATGCAAAAAAGTATGCTCCTACAGGCTAACCACTATCTAAAATCCTGGAGGAGTTGGTTTTTTCCAATAGTTTTGGCCCTATGATCTCAAATTAAGCTGACTGTCCTGTGAAAAGCCAACCTTTCTCCACCTCTTACCCAGAACAGTACAGACAAATCAAATGGGAGGTGCTGAATGCTGAGAACTAAGTCTTAAAACAGAAAATATACAACTAAGACATTATGAATGTACAGCACACTGGTAATTTACTTCCTTTCATTACAGCTGGTATTTCTTGAATACATAATGCATGTGTCTTTCCCTATCTCTTTTGACTGTTTTGTTCTTTACCTGCAGAGCACATCTGTGCTGTTTAATGCACTTCTAATACTGCGTGCAGCTTTCTGCCACCTCCTTTTTCTTTGCCATACAACCACATCATGCTCCACTCAAACCTGCAGAATGTGCCTTTTGCCGTCTCCCATCCCTCTTTAGTACCTTGTTGAAGTAGAGCGAGGAGCCAGATGAGATGACCCCACAGCCTTCTTCAGGCTTGACGATCTCTCCCCCAATAATCTCCTGCCACTCTGTCTTCAGGGTGTCTGGGTTCTCAAAATCAGACATGATGGTTGAAGAAAGGGGATTTTCAGGCTGACATTCAGTACCCCGAAACCCTGAGTCACACCTGGAAAGAAGTGTAAACGTAACAAGCTTTTAAAGACTTTATTTGACACTGACAATTAGTTAAGGTGGTGCAGCGACCTTTTAAAATTAGATGTGAAATAACAAATCATTCTTGGACTGGAATTTTGGAACATGGAAACAAACTAGAATAACTGGAAATCCCCCCTGTATTTTATTTCTAAAAAAAATCCCTGTGGTGTCCAGAAAGTTTGAAGCTGGCAGGCAGTAGTCTGGGCCCTTGGTATTGCACCCATTCTGACAGCAGCTTCCTAGCAGTGCTGAGCTGGTCCCTGGCATCCTTCTGACCCAGCAAAACAGCTCCAGCACTAAGCTCGTCCCTGGGGTTCCTGTGCAAAGGGCTGGAGAGGCCACCAGGACACCTGCAGCAGGGCAGCTCTGTGCCACTGAAAGCTCTTCCAATGCTTGGATCTGCCAAGGGTAAGAGTCCTTGGACAGATGTTGAGAAGCAACTGGCTGTTAATGTTGCTTGAATGGTCTAACCCCTTCATAGTGCTTTTACTTTTTAATGTTTAATCTAAAAATAAGAACAACAGCCAAGAAAAGAAAACTGTGGAAAGTAATAAGATACCTGAAGTATCAGGAGACCATTGTTAAGAGGGACTGACAAGGGATTTATACCTGCAAACACCGTGGTCGCACCAGCCGTGCCCGCTGCACATGTTGGGACACTGCTGTCCAATGTAGATGTTGTCCAAGGCCCACTCATCTTGGGCTGTGTAGTAGCACTGACTCCAGCGGAAACGCGTGGCACTGGACCTTAAAAGCAATAACAGTGCTTTACTTTGTGACTCTTTACAGAACTGTAGGAAAAAAAAGATAAAATGTAACTAAAAAAAATAAAGTTGCTATCACAATCACAGCCCAGGCGGCAAAGGCTGGCACAACCAAAGACAGATCTTTGTAAATTATCTTTCTAGACAATGCCACTTGCTGCACAGGGCTATATAATGGACTTTCCAGTCACTGGTGACATTTCTACATAAGCGTTACAGGGATTTTGAGCATTATTTTAAGGTAAGCCTCACAATGAGTATTCCCGGATTTTTATTGAGTCCCGTTCTGTGATGGGTGCAAAACTAGAAAGGTGGATCTAGGGCATGACTTTGGTTTTTATATTTTTGGTCATAGTTAACAGGTCAGAAGTTGTGTAAACAGGTTCCTTCTGATATTTATTATTAAAAAAATTATTAAAGCTCCTGAGTATAAGTGTTTCTCCCATTTTTTTCCCCATACAACAATAGTTGACTGTTTTTTCTTGGATATGAAAATTTCCTTTTGTCAGGATGATTCTAAATTAGATTTAGCTCACATGTCTCTGGTGACATTGAGATCGCCAGTTTTTGACAAAGATCCTCTTTCATAGCTTGTATTTTTTTCCACACTACAAATAGCTTGCTCCTGCACAACAACTCAAAATCTGTAACACCCAAGGTTTGTGGTGTTTTCTTGCCTAACTAAACTCTGGATATTTGTAATATTCTTCAAGCAAAAACCTTGTTGTAGTTTCTCCTTTCTAGTTTATCTTCAACAGCTTATTTTTCTTTAATATAGTGAAGTCAGCTAACATTATCTATTAAACAATTCCTGTTGTTGGCCCTCTAGAAGATTGTCCAATGGGACACTGAAATTTTCCATGGGAGTGACTCCTGCTAGCCAAACCCAACCTGACATCCACCACACTTAAAAACCAAGGCTGGAGAAGAAACTGAATCATGAGAACAACAATTTTTGTCATCATCAAGCCTTTCCAAGCTGTCCTGCCAAACTGTGAACATCCAACAGGTTACAGATGTTGGCTAGTGGCCACTCCCAGATGGTGTAGGCAGACACCCTCCACTTGACGCTTGTGCCGGAATGAGACTAAAAAAAATATATTGCACGTGAAATGAAACAAAGATCAGAAATCGTTTGTGGTGGGGGCAATATGGGCACTGAGGCTGGATCAGAGCTGTGCAAGGGTAGGACAGAGAAAGCAAGGCTGACTGAAATTTATAAAATCAGATTTTGAATTGGGAAAGGCCTGTGTCTGGCCAAGGGCTGGTTGGAGGGAGCTGAGGATGAGAAGCAGGTGGTTCCTATACGAAGCTTCTTTTCTAGCTTGTTTCTGAGCCATATGGTTACATTTTGACAGCACAGGATATAATGCTGTTACTCTAATTTAAGATAAAAATCCCTTTCCCCACCCCCAATAATTTATGTGGAATAAGGCTTATTAAAATGAATATTGTAAAGGTGGCCGAGCCACCTGCTTGCATGTATGGAAGCAAAAAAACAGATAGAGCCGGCCTGGGTGGCTGAAGTGGACACTGTGGCAGAGCAGTCAGCCATTCAGGTGGCCTTTCAGTCACATACCAGAAGTTTAATACACGCGTGCAGAAATTTTTAAAATACCAGTTTTGAATTGCTTTAAAAAAAACAAGTGAAGGTGCCCAAAGGCTTGATTTTTAATGGAAATGATGCTTGTTGTCTGTTCTAAGTATCTGTTTGATATCACAAGTACTGTAAGCATTTTTACAGCACACAGAGTTAATCGGCAGGGGCAGATATGCTGATTAAATAATCCCTCAGGATATAATGTATTGATGGGTTACATTAGAAGAGCTATGAATTATACATTAAAAGTGCACAATGCCAGTAATCTGCACACGAAGAGCTTCCTAGGCTTGTGTAGGCACAACGGACAGTCAATATTCACCACAATTATTTACTGTTTATTTTCTGAGTGCTCTGAGGTCAGCACATCACCTCAGTGGTGAGGTTCATGTTCACTACAGAGTTTCAATGGCACCACAGAGAGCCCTGACAGAGGTTTTAGGCTCTGGAAAGAGCAGTAACAACTGGTGCTAACTCTAATGCGTGCTGAGGAAAATAACAATACTGATACAGAAGAATGGTATTAGAGCAGGCAAACACACACCCCCATGAACTCCCAGCACAATAAAATTGTGTCATGTTGTTTTCCCAAGTAACAGGAGGGAGAGTATTGTGGTTGGGCATCTCTGGCTTTCATCAGGGATGGGGTGGGGTGTGAGACCCTGCACCCTAGTGTTATTTACAACAAAGTGGAAGAAATTTACAGTGTTATACACCATGGAAGTTTCATGGTGCCCAACAAATGGTGGCGTACCCTAAACAGCTCCTGGTGTTGCATGATGTGGCATTGATGGCATTGCCTCTCACTGGCTGCTGCCAGGTGCAAACGACCCTTCAGGGTGGCTTTGCAGCTGCACCACGGCTGGTTTTAGGGCACAAAGCTCACATCCAACCTACACAAACAGCGGGGAGAGCCCAGTCCTGTGTAATGACAGAGAACACCTCTGTGCCCAGTGGAGCACCACACCTGAGGCCCCACTGAGAAGATCCCTGTGCAGCTCCACTTTGGGGCTGTTCCCAGGGCTCAGCCTGCACTGTGAGGCACAGAGCTCACACCAGAGCCCACAGCCCCTTCTGGGGCTTGTGTGGGTTTCACCTGACCAAAGTGTTTCTCTGGAGAGTCTCACTGTACCATTTCTGATGCAGGGGACTGCCCCTGCCAGGTGCAGAGCACAGGGCCACATGCTGCCGGGGTATCTCCATCTTCCTCCTCAGACTCCTGATGTTGGCTGCACGTCAAGCCAAGGGTGTGCTCTGCTCCACTTGTGACTTAGAAGTTCCCCCAGATAAATGCAGCGATTGCAGGAGGTTTGTTTCTACCATTTAAGGGGAGGGGAGGAAGGCAGGAGGCTCATTACTGCCTGGAGATGAACATGTGGCCGAAACGGAGGTGTGGCGATGGGGGATGGTCCCCGGGGAGCCACATCACAGCGGGCAGGGGTTATTTTTATCTGCAGACAGCGAGCTCTCCCCTGGGGACAGCTTTGCCACTGCGGGAATTCCGTGGTCCCCGAGCTGCTGCCAGGGGTCCCGCGGGAAGCGATGCCACCGTCACAGGGCTGCGGGCAGCGAGAGCTGTCATAGATCCGGATTCCTCCCTGGGTGAGGGATAATGTGTGTTAGGCTGAATTGGCAATTGTGAAAGCAACGCTGCTGAAAAGCCAGTCCTGCTCACTGTTTTTGAAAGCTTTCCAAGGCTGCTCTGCACCTCAAGGTAACAACAGCTTAAGAGAATTATGCTGTTAGAAATGGTAATCAACAATTTAAAAACAGCCATGTTAATTAAGAAAAGAGAATAAGGAGATGAGTGTCAGCTGCATTCTCAGTGATAAAATACTGGTTTTCTGGACAATCACCATTTGGACATCTATTGAAATGGGAAGTGCAGCACAAGTAAAATAAACCTCCCTAGTTCCTCATATTGTTTCCTTTTTTTTTTTTTTTTATGCTACTGGAAGGCAATCTGGCTTTCTGATGACATTATATCTAAGTCAGGTTGATGTCAAATAAAAGTCATTGTTGCTGTGTGACATTTTACATAAGCACAAGGAAATCATGTCCCAGAAGTACTGCAAGTGAAATGATGTTCTTTCTGTTATAAAATTTTTCAGATATGTGAGTTAAAATAAAATCATTGCCTTCCCTACTGATATTAAAAGCCCTAATGATCTAATGCAAATTTGTGGCTGATAAAATTATATTTGCTACCTTCTGAGTTACCATAATTACATTTACCCAATTATCCTGAAGCTCTCATTCAGTCATTAGGTGTTGATTTGTTTATGAAGTCAGCAACTGACAGCTGCTTGTATCTCATTAAGGCCTGTTCATATGTAAATGCCTCCCATAAAACTGAAATTAATTTTCATCACTGTTAGAAATGTTCAGTTCAAGTACAATACAATTTCAGCAAGCAGGTGCATACATTTCATTTCTTCAATACAAGTCTCACTCTTGCAACAGATTTCCCAATATCCCAAATCTCAGATAACACAGGGACCTTGCAAAATCATGCTTGACAGATGCAGAACATCTACAGATGTGCAGAAATACCAGCACACCCAGAAAGTTTTACAAGAGAAATAGGTGCTGTTAAGGAACAATTTTCCAGCTGCATCAGCACAGTGCCACAGCCTGACACTACCCATGCACCCAAGGTGCAAACCTTCAGTAAGAGCTGTGCATGAAGGGATAAAATCTCCAGCAACTGTGGCAGGGCTGAGCAGGGGTGTGAGGACACTTGAGGCTACCAAGGGCCAGAGCAAGGCTAACAAGTCATTCCTGAATCCTTGCTTAGGTGGTTTATTTCCCTGCGCAGTAAGCACAGGGCAGGGTGTGTAGGTTGCAACCTTTGTCTTGAGGGGTTGAGACAAAAGGAAGTTCTCCAAAGCACCCTTGCTCTCACCCCAGTTTCGGGAAGGCAGCAAACCTGGCTCTACCCCTCTGCACTGTTCTTCCTGGCCATTACTAAGATTTTGCCCATGGGTGGTTTTTGCAGTGGAATACAAGTGGGAAAGGGATAGGGGAGGGAGGGAGGACATCCCAAAGAAGAGCCCTGTGGAGCATGTTCACTACCAGCCACCTGGTAGGATGCCCTCCGTGTGGCTGGGCTGGCAGTGAAGGGCACACATCAAATGTTCAACAGGAATGCCCAGGTTTTGGAAAGGCAGAAACTTGCTCTCTGCTGGTAAGCGTGCTTTTAAAATGCATAAAAAATCCCCTCCCAATCTCAATCCAAAAGAACTACTGAGCCCTCAGCCTGTTCCTTGCCAGTGGAAAGGAGAGTTAAAAAGAGGGGAAAGTGGCTGAGATGCATCTGGTGTGCTGGATTGATTTCGGTGAGGAACATGCAGCCAATCTTCCTCTTCATCCCAATAAAGCCATAGCACAACACAACACAGAAAATGTGTTCTATGAAAAGCAAAGAAATGTTCAGTGGTAATTTGTACCTTAATTACAAACAAAACTCTGGTAAAAGACAGGAATCCCTTCAGATAAAAGATTGTGCAAAGAGTGTGAAACATTTATGATTTGTGCACAGCATAAAACAGGAACCCAGCTATTACTCCATCATGATTTCTCCCCATAGTCTCCTAAATTAAAAATAAATTGTTTGCTTCTGTCACCTCATATGCTGAGAAAAATGAGTAGATCCTAAAGAAGAAAAGGTCCATAACATTGGTATTACCATCAAATACAGAATGTATAATAATAACTTTGAGTACAGTATATATATCTTATAAATAAATTTAAGAATAACAGCCTGCTTTAGAGTGTAACCTGAAAAATTGTAGACACTCTTTTAACTCCTAAGTGCCTATGTGAACCACAGATTTTGCAGCTGGTAGAACATAATGGCATGTAAGATTCAGCACATTATAATCTAATTACAAAGCACTTAATCATAGACTTACTTGTGCTATTTGGTATTATCTGATCTGATATGTTTTAAGGATTTGATATTTGCCCTTGATATTTTGCCTGTAAATAGGAAATTCTGAATACTGGCTGTACAGTAAAAATGGCCAGTGTGTTGAAAGAAGGTATCGTTGTGGTGTGACTGATGGAAATAGGTTGTGTGGAGGCCGTGGAGAGTGCAAAAAATAATGATGAAGGATGGGGAAATACAATGATAACTTAATCTGAGCAAGCTCTCATTGCAATTGCTGTGATGGATTCAGGTCAAGCATAAGTAAAATGTAACTCTAATTGGAATAATTAAATTCTCAAATGAAGGAAGCCCTGAAGATTATTGGGATTTATGACAACTTTTTATTTGTATATTATAATAAAGATTTTAAAATAAACAATGAAAGAAACCATGTAGTTAAAAAATAAAAATTTTAGGGCAGGCAAATGTAGTTTAATTAAAATAAGATGATTAGTGTAAGGCTTTCTCATAATTTCTGTTGCTGTTTTTTGCAGAAAAGAATGTTATTTTTAAGACATGCTATAAAAAGAAACAAAAGTTAAAAAATTCCCAGAAATGAATCATTAGTTATTGTTTATAGAAGGCTTTGGTCTGAAGATGTAAACAATAAGGAATGTGCAAAATAAAAACTAACAATCCAAATAAAGCTTTCCTCCAATGGGGCATTTATAGACAAGAACCACTATTTTTGAAAAGGTCTGAACTTTATTAGAAGAGTCAGAGTATGTATTAAAAACAATCCTAAACAATAGTTTCTGTTGACTTTCCCAACATTTCACTCTCTAATTATGTAAGGAATGCATTTTTATGTTAAATACCTGCAACTGGGTCAGCTCTGGCACCCCACCTACTGGCTTCAGTATGACCTACAGAGAACTTGTTCTTTGTCACAGCAATTTAAAAGCAGATGAATTATCTACACCCCAAAAAAAATTTTAAAGAGAAGAAATAAATGCTCACCAAGTCTTCTGTGGTAAAAGAACAGTGATTCTCCTCCACTGAGTAAATTCACTAGAGTGGTAAATACTTGCTGATGTAAACTCCTGACAGCTTGGCATACTGGGAAGACATTCCTTAAAGTAAAACATTTCAAAACCAGATTTAATGTTAGGGAATAATCGGGAGCAGAAAGAAAGGTTAAATATTCAACAGAAATAGGAGCTTGTCTGGGCCCAGATGTTGGAGTGAAAGACCCAGAAGCAGAAAAATCCTGGCATGATGCAGAGAAATTTCTCAGACAACCAGTAGTACAATTAAGAATGGAAAAAAGCCATACAAGTCTTTAAAGAGTTTAGCATTGGTGACTAGTAATGTTTTGCTTTCCTCCATGAGGGTGTGTAGCTCATTTTTTTTTTTACTGTTTTCACCCCAGCATCTAGCATGGACTATGAAGGAAGCCGACAAGACCACTACGGAATAAGTCTATGAAAGTGACCTCCAGACTCCAGAACATTATACCAGTCATTTTGGAGACCTATTTGTGAGCCCTTGCCTGGGCATGCTGGCTGTGCCCACATTCTCCATCTGCAGGGGGGAGCAGGAACAGACAGCGCCACAGCAGAGCACTCAACTGCAGCTACTGGAGTTGTGTCCAGAGGCTCTTCCCATGCTCTGCAGCCTGTGTTTCCTTTAACACCTACAGCAAGTGGTGTAAATTCCCCTTTCCTGCTTCTATGATTATTTCTGCATTTAAGTCGGATTCCTAGTGAGGTCTGTTCCCCAAACTTTCTTTTTTCTACTCAGAAAATATGAACATTATCACATCTTTTAATATTAAATATAATTGAAGTTTATTATCCCAGCTTCTTACTGTTTTCTAGAATTGCCCTTCCCATGTTACTTCATTTACTTCATTTTTTTCTGCTATAGTTCATTCATTTATATATACATAGCCAGAATAGCACCCAAAACTTTTGTGCTATGGTTTTGATGAGGTATTAATAACGTGCTTGAAAGTTATTACCAACCTGCATGATCCTGTTCTAGGTACCCACTCAGAGAGTTCCTTCTGCCACTCACTGCCACAGCACAGCTTCTCCTGACCATCCCCACATGCCCAAGAGTCTTTTGCTGTTCACTGCTGTGCTCACCCCCACGAGGGTATCAGGTAAGAAGGGGGCCTTAGGGACAGACACCTGCTTATGCAAGTAGCCCACTTTGACTGCTCTGAAACTAATATTAAAGCAGTGATTCTCTACAGCAGTAACGGCAATTAAGAATATTTATATAGTTAAATTATACACTAATAGTTATATATTAAATATGATCAAGGGCAGAATATATTATTTTACAGAGATGTTTATTGCTCAAATATCTTAGAGTATTAAATGAAGATCTGAGACCTTATTCTGTTTTGCTGGGACTTCCTTTTAGTAGATTTTCTAAAGGCTTAATTTCCTTTCCAGCAATTTTCAAACAGTTTTCATTGATTCATCTCCCCTAAAAGATCTTACAAAACAGGGTCTGATCAGTGCTTGTGAAGCAAACAAAACTTTCAAACATTTTAATTAATTAGTGTTTTGTTTATTTGCCAGATTATGTCCTTGAAATATACTACAAATAGTCTTTTATCACAGCAACATGGGTGGTGTGAGAAAAATGATTTCGCTGCAAGTTCTTCTCTCTGAACTCAGCTTCATTCAGCGAGGAAAGGAGCACTAAAATCTGAAGGCAACTGATCTTCCATTGATGGCAAGCACAAACTCCAAACACCCACCACTAGGAGTGGACACCATGGTGATGCCATGTATAAAAGACACTAAGAGCATTTGAAATACAGAATTTATAGCTTTCCTCTAAATTTAGTTTAAGGTAAGAAATCATGATTTAGATTTGCAAAGTGTAAAAACTCATTTACTGCCATTTCTCTATTCTGCCCACCAAAGTAAATGTGCCAAATACAACATGGCTAAGGGTAACTGGGCAAAGCTCATAGAAGATGTGGAACGTGACATATAAATCCTTCTGTGAGCCTGGAGAGCAGGCAGTGAAAACACACTAGGACAAGTTCCCTGACACCCTCTGAACCCGCTCAGAGGCAGCCAAAGGACCTTGGTTAGTTCACCCTGAGGCCAGGGAAAGTCCAGCTTTTGATCTAAGAGGGGAAACAAAAGCACAAAGCATGGCCAAATTTGCTACTCACATTTGTGCTGAGACAGGGCTGAGCCACACAGGGAAATAGCAGCCAACACTGCTATTTGCACTTCCAGCAGAGTGGGGGAAACAGCCGGTCATTATGGCCCTGGACTGTGTTTGAACCAGGGATGGGAGATGAAAGTCTCTACATTACAATCCCCTGAAGGAATGCGCCTTCCATTTACGAAATGGCTGCGCACAAGGGCAGAAAGAATTTCTGTCCATTTAAATTCCAGGAAACGGTACATGCATTTTGCTCAGAAAAACAAAGCAATAGCACAGGAAAGATCTCAGCCATTACCCTGTAGCTTTGTCTAACTGTGCCCCAGCTCTTTTCTCAACCTTGATCCATTTCTGTCACAATTTTGTATTTCAGATACTTTTCTTCCAAATATTATGAAGAACAGTTTAAATACGTCTAATAGTAATTTTGACTGATTCCAAGCGAGAATTTCTTTATTGAAAGGTGATAAAGGAAAAAACATCTTTCTCTGTTCAATGCCAGAAGTGTTATTTCAGATGATCTTTGTATATGCAGAGTTTATGGAAGACAAAGTCCTCGCTGCCAGCCTCACCTCCTGAACAAGATGCCATGTGAGGCCATGGTTGGTGGAGTACTCCAGTTTCACCTGGTTGTCCATATGAGGAGTGAATGCCTCACCGCAGCCCATCACCAAGTTGAACTGTATCATATACGAAGCTCCAATCTGCATAGACTGGGTCTCCACGTAGCGCATGCTAGAAGCTAACTTTGAGTCTCCTGTAAAACTGAGAGATGTAAGGAAAGAGTCAGGATCTGTCCCCAAAATATTTCAAACAGGAACATTATGAGTGGATTTGGGTTAAATATGGTGATGCTTCTGCCTTTGCTTTGTAGATCGGCACATAGGATGAGACCAGGCAGAGAAGAATCTGTTGGTACTTCTGCAAATTACCAGGAAGGCCTTGATGTATCCCAGAATGCAAAACACTGAATTATTCTGTTAGTTCTTACTATGTGCTCTTTGTATTAAGGATCAAGTTAGGATCAAGAAAGAGCAACATAAGTTAAAAACAACATAAAGAAAGTTCATTCCCCAGGAGTGTCCATTGCCTAAGGTCATGCCACAGTAAGAGCTGTAATGTCATTCCAATACTGGACAGTAAAGATACACCGCATCTAGTTTAAAATATTCCTATTACATAGACTTTTCATTCCATTGATTTTCAAGTGATCCTATATGCCATGCATTCCCTGACTTGTCTGTGTTTCAGAATTAATATCTTCTATCCTCAGCTTCTTTTCTGTAGGAGGTACTGATATAAGTCATGTTATCCAGTGGATTGGAGAACAATACTAATGTTTGGAATACACGTACACACATACAAGGTACCCAGTTATCACATATACAGTGACACAGTATATAGTCTGAAATTACAAGGTTATTTCATTTTAAAGGCAGGGTTTTCTTCAATGCACTTTTCAAAAGAAAAACAAACAACCCAAATCAAAACCCCAAGTGCAAGAGAGGTATAGGGAGGAAGTTACAACAACTTAAACTTTGAATCCGGCACACTAGGCTTTAAAACAGGGCATTTTAAGGAAAGTTTACTTAGAATGAAAATTGCCTCTCTCTCCTTAGTTTGAGATGTTTACATAGTGTCTTCAGAAGTACTGTTGTCCTTTAAGCTTCAAAATTTTCTAAGGCTATTCTTAAATGTGAACACTTTAGGATAGGGACTGGCTCTTTATAAAGAAAATCACTGCAAATCATCATGCAAAAATGAAAAAGCTAAATTCAGAACAGTGGTGATGAAGAGAATAATCTAGTTCAGAGTTGCTCTTATGACTGAATAAGCTAAAGTTTATCTCCTTAAATAAGAAATCATAATCTTTAAATACAGTACAATAGAAGATATTAGCTTCTACTCCTGTAAAAGTCAAGGTCATGATGAAGTGGGTGTGAGGATAAGTCACAGTCACTTAACACTCTTTTAAATTAATTCACTGACCCACACCACTTTCTACAGTCCTTTCCAGAGAGAGCACTTAAGCCATGAATGTCAGCATCCTGCCTTAAAGCTTTAGAAGAAACTGCTGAAAGCTGACATTAGTTTTGTCATTATGAAATTGCTGTTACTTGGCACAAGTGGAGATGCAGGCTGCTTTCTACCCTCTGATGTTACTCTCTGTAACTTAATTTTCTAAAGGATGATCCAAGTCATGACACCATATGAAACTACCCCGTCTCTGTTGATCAGCACCTTGAACGGACTGCGGATGGACACTCACTGCTAGGGCACTGTCATGCACAACTGGACCAGCAGGCAGGCAGTGAGATGTCTTGGAAAACTGTCTGAACTGCTTGCTCTTTCAGTTGATGTTGTCAGTTTTTCTTCTCAATGGGAAGGATAATTTTAAGTTGAGCAGAGGATATAATGTACACTCACCAGCGGTCCAGCTGACAACCTATGGTTTGTGGCTTCATGGTTAGAACTGAATGCATCTCCGAAGAATTTGTGTGGATAATGCCTGAATTTATTTTTCTTCCAAACTTTACCTTGTACTTTTCAAAATGACAAAGATCCACAAATTTAAAAGTTAAAGTTGATTTGGTCTGACATGGTTTTAATTTCTACAAAGCAGCTTGAAATTTCATGGCTGATATGGGAAAACACAGTTTTACTGAAGCTCTCTTGGGAAATCTGTGCCAATACAAGCAGGCTCTTCAGGTATCAGTCAGCCGTGTGCAGTGTAATCAGCTGAAAGTTACATGTAACAATGCTCTGGAAAATGATTTGGCATTGCACAATAAACCCCGGCACAACACAACACAACACAGTTACCTAAAGCTCATCTGAACAGAGTAAAGGAGTTGAAACTAAACAGTTTGATGAAGCATCTGCCCAGAAGCTATCTTCCCAAAGTAATAGAAGAGAAGTGAAGGACTGGTACTCAGCATAGGTGCAAAGAATTAAATGTTACATTTTTCCCTTGTCTTCAGAAAAATTCCCTCTATTCAATATTACTAGTGTAAAATGAGAAAAACCCCTTAAACTCTAATCTTTTCTTTCTGGTGGCATTCAGGTCATTATGAAAACATTTTAAGTTCAGTATTCATTTTAATTTAATAACTTAGCCACTGGATATTGTACATAGTATATTAAGCAAACATGGTTAAAAAGTCAAACCAGCTCTTTAAAATGGATATGAAAGAAATGTAAAAAAGGAAGCTAGTGCTGAGATGAAGACAAATTGTGATACTCTATAAGATGCTCTTTTAAGGCGAGGAAATCACATTATGGGTTTACAAAGTCCTTTATCAACCACCAATTGCCTTCAGCTGAACATGAGTAGCATTAAAGGTAGGGGCTCCACCTTACTTGCCACTTCTTTGCTCTCCAGATCTCTCATGTACATGGTTAGGGGTATGCTCTTCTCCTGGAATACCAAATATTTTCTTTGTTCTGGGAGCCACACAGCTGGAATACATTTCCAGATTTTGTAAAAGATGAAGTAATGTCCCTGGCGTAACAATAATTAACAAAAAAATCTTCAGAAATGAGAATGCAGAGGCTTCATTTTTGTATAAATATGTTGCTGCGAGTTGGTTTCTGGCACGTATATAATTAGACCTGCAGAGGCACAGGAACACAATACCCATAGGTGCCCTCAGAACAATCACTCTCCCTCAAAGCACTGCCAGCTAATTGGTACTTCTGGGAATGGTATCACAGTCAATGTCAGCCAACCTGCATTGCTCCAAACTTCTCTGAGATCCCCAGAGTTACCATATTTTCAAGGCCGGTACTTTTAGGAATACTGAGAAGCCACACGGATGCTTGTTTTATAAAGCTGCATTGACCGAAAATATTGACATGTTGGCCAAACGCTTGCACCAGCCTGAGCTTTGCCTCCATCAAAGTCAGGAGATATTTGTGACTTTTTAAATCACATCATACCTACTTTCCTAAGTAATTTCTAAATGTATTAACTTAATTAATAGAATTAAGTTGATTACCTGAAATTTTCTGCTTATTACAGAATAACAATTGATCTAAAAGACAAAACATGTTAAACACAGGTAAACTATCAAGCTGATGTAAGACCACTGTATTACCTCGCTACATAAAGATAGTTCATGACGTGGCAGGTTTACAGTCTTCCCGCAAACTTCTCCAGGGACAGTGGGACTCTCTATTCTTCAATACATTGAGTTAAATCATAATGTCATAATCTGACTAAAGACATTTATTAACCAACAGCTTGGTTAATTTTGGTAAATCTGCTTATAACAGCTTGGCTATTTTATTCATGTCCTGATGAATATATATATATGTATATATAACCTTGCTGGAATATGAGCATTTTGGGGAAGCGATGCATTAACATCATCAAACACTTCATTTTAAAGGGGTTCTGGAGTTCTTTCAGTATAACCAATATGCTTGTTATACTAAAGTCCAAGATCCAATCTGAAACCAAATGTTGACAATGACAATCAAATAAAGTGACTGTTCCAGACATAGACCATTACAAGCACTCAAAAATCACCTTTGCTCAAAACACATGTATATCAACAAACCTCTCCTATTTTAAATGAAGGCAGATATGGAAAAGAACAAGCTGCCTCTTAAAAAAAAGAATAAAATCCCTCTCCTCAGTTTTCTCCAGTTTTAAGGATAAATGTTTCAGGTTTACAGATTCTGAAGCAGAAATGGAGGCCTAATAGACGATCAAAGGCAATTCAGCGAAAATGGGCCTGGGGATGACACCCTGTAAAATGATTTATAGCATATTTCCCATACTTGTACTAATGAGAAAGCTGTTGTCAGACTTTTCTCAAGAGGATGGTGTCAGTGCTACTGCATGCTCTGCTCATAGAAACTCATGAGTTAGAAAATGAGAACCAAATGGACTCACAGCTGGGAAAACCCAGCAATAATTAATTTAACTAGCAACCATTTGTAGAGACTTTGTGTAAGTTTAAAAATTTCCCTTGAGAGAAACAAGGTCAGTGAAGGATAGAGTTCCTGTCTTCCAGTAATAATGAAAAATACTTATATATAAATACTAAGGAAATATTGCAAAGGCTTTGATTCTTTGATGCATGGAAAGTTCAACATTTCTACTATGCCTGAGCACTACAGATCTTAGTCAATAAATGGGAGGGAGAATTTAGCTCAGTGTTTATTATTTTGATTCTGATTTACATTCATAAGAGGAAAATAGAGTAACCTCTGCTATCTTAAATAACCTACCCTCCTCCTCAAGATAAGCCGGTCTTCTTAAAAGAAGAGAGGGAAAACAATGTCATTAAAGGGCTTTCATTCCAACTCTTTGATGAGGAAGATGCAGTTTGAGCCCTAACATGTTGTTTCATTTTAATGAGCAGTGAGTACTTCCCTTGTCCTTATTAAAGTGGTTAATGGTGCTTCTACTGCCTCATTATCAGCGCTAGAACACATTCGGTGTTGTTCCTACTGCTAAGCCAACTCCTTTTAGTTTGACAGATGATCAGAAAGTCAAATCAGATTGCTCAGAGATACTTGTTAATAAAATTCCAACAGTGTTTCTCTGAGTGTCCACGGGGACACTAAAATTATTTATATTTTCTTGAGGTTTTCCATAATTACTGTGATTGTACTTTCTCCAAAGAAATAAATCTATGCCAATTAAAACTATACTGGGTTTATAGGTTGATCAAACTAGCATGAAACTGTTATTTGGTTTTAATCAAAACACAGATTTTAAATTGAACTTCCTTTGTATTAATTCCAAATGTTACACTTGTGTGCTCCAGAATTTTATTTTTGTGAAGCATGTTAATGTTTTACTAAAAACGCTTATTTTAATGCAGTACTAACAATTTTTTTCTTTGTTTTTCCTTTCTTTTTCTTTTCTTGCCTTTATTTTCTTTGGAGTAGGTCATTTTTCCTTGCTTTTGTTTCTAAATACACAGCATATTTTAGGCCTAATTGCAATATGTCATAACGCTGATCACAGTGTAAATGACTAAATGGATATATTACTAGACAAAATAACTACAAATGGCTAATGTTATTCTGCCCACATTTTGCTGCCTTTCCTATCTGGATCGTAATCTAACGGCTATATACACAAATCTGAACATCACTTAGAAAATATTCAGTCTGTACTTAACAGATAATTTCATTACCTCCATACCTGTATTAACCTGACTGGATTTTAAGTGAAGATTATGAAAAATTTACAATTTTTTTTTCTGTTAGAATATTCTTTATTTTGTTGGAAAAGAATGCTACATTCAGTGTTCCCATTAAACATTAAGTCTCTGTGCAATGGGGTGTAAAAGCTAACTGGTAATTGCAATTAGATTAGCAACTGTATTTTTGTCCATAATGTGAGGATGAGAAAAAATTACTCTGAATAGCTACTGGAATGACTCGTTTGCAGCAGTTACTTGATTCTTAGCAGGATGAATAGACAAGAAAAACAAAAGTAGAACAGAAAAGAATATGTGTTTCTCACCAAAGAGTCCAGTCGTGTCCACAGTGAGGTTGAACATTTCCCAAGTAGAATCCCAGAGACTGTGTGACCTCAACTAGGTTGGTGAAGTCTAGACTGATGCTGTTGAAAAGCACAGAGGTCATGATAATTTCATCGATTGCCCACACGTCTTCGCCTTGAGAAGAGTGATAGGGTTGCCACCATCTGAACTGAATGCCGATCTGTCTTGCATCTTCAGGCAGCTCCACTGAAATTATTCTGGAAAACAAAAAAAAATTATTATTGACAGTTTTGCCATTTGTAGTAATTCCATGGGGTTGTGTTTTAGGGTAATTTTTTTCTTAATGACCCTAAAAATCATAGGTTAGATTCAGCCCAAAAATACTGTAGCATCTACTGGTATAGCTGCTACCAGTGAGAGGGACAGGGGAATTGTTAGTTCTCTTGGTAATCAATGTATTTACTGAAAAACAGCCAAGTGCAAAAACCACCAAAAAGAGTTTCAACCCATTTTGTAAATTTTGCTGCTGCCATGGGGCTCTCTGTAAACTTAGAGGTGCAAATTAGCAAAGGAATGATCAACTGACAAGGACTTAAGAATTCCAGCTCTATTTTCTCAGACTCAGTGGCTTTTATCCTGATCTGAAGACATGCATCTTCTAAACATCTGTGCTAGTTCCTGCACAGCATTGACATCATGCCCATGGTGCACTTGTCCTAGAAGAACCCACTCCTGTAAATAGCCACATTCAGATGGAAAAAGTTCATCTTGTCAGACAGCGTGATTATGTATAGTCTTTAATGGCAGACACTTTTGTAGCTGCACAGAGCTACAACTGGAGGTGAGTCCTAGGTGCTTCTGGTATGCAAGGTCATTTGATTTGTCATGGCAGCTATGTCAACAAAAGTAGAATTGACAAACTGCAAAGAAAATTAAGAGTAATATCCAATTTCCAGGAGCAATTATCATAACACTGCAGCAGGGAGCATGCATTAATTGCCACAGCAATGATACCTTCTTAAAAGCTCCATAAATCACTAGGACCATGGTACCCCACACAGCCATGTCAACTGTGAGACAGACTGGCAACAGGGACATTTGTCTCCATTGGGGTACAATTACTTGCTGGCAAAAGGGTTTTCGGCAAGTTCATCATGTAGCTGATATTTTTCTTTCTCTCTTAGAGGAAATGTGTATAAAATGATAAATTGGGTAAACTGGAAGCATCTTTTTATTTTTTAGCTTCATATTTTTTAGACTTAAGGCTTTATAAGCTGCCTGTTGTAATGTTTTATTCTCTGCACACGAAAGAGTCTTGTGCCTGTGTTGCTCTTAGTGCAAAACCACACTCTTAAAAGTGTCTTGCTACACTGTCCTTGTAAATAGTAAATTTATAATACTGCTATTTAATGTTACATTCATTTTAAAAAAGAATATGTTAATTCATTAACCAGAAAAAAATCAAATGGCTTGGCCAAATAGTTGGGAAGTGCTCAAAAAGTCCTGCCTGGCATTTCTAGGAGCTTCCTGCTCTCCGCAGCCTGGAGGGAGCAGTGTCTAGGGACAGCCAGAGGTGACAGCTGCTGTACGCCTGTGGCATGGAACCAGCACTGTACACACTTTTTATGTGTGGTGGATACATTTCCTTTACACTCAAACATGCTTGAATGACTTCGTACCCTTCCAGGGGAAAGACCAAGCCTCATTGCTCTCTGACATGAACAAACTACAAGGACTTCTTTTCTACCAAGGATTCTCCAATAAGAAGCAACTTGATGACCTTTTGGGTTAATTTTTAGAGGCACAAATGACACTAAATTGCTACTGATGCTAAAAGGAACCAACGATTTTGTCATCCATGTGAACCTGAGGAAAGCAGGTACCCTGGCCAGGAGAAGCACTGTATCCAGTGGGTGCTGTGAAGCACTTGGCACTTGTATGAGCTAATGCTCTGCTATAATCCCGGACATATTTCTCTGCTGCCTCTGATGCCTGCACCTCAGGTGGCTGCCTCTGATGCTTGCATCTTCCTTTCACTCTTAACTCTCATAAGCTCACCCACGTGGACACTAATTCTCACTGACAGTAATATACAGAAAATCCTAAATCATGACATACACCACTGATACATGTATCAGGTGTTAAAATATTTAACACACGTTAAAATAAATTTCTCATCCCAGGGGATTAAGCTAATGCAATTTAAAAATGGAGGTGTAAACCATCATGTATGGCACATATGTTAGTATGCAGAACCTGGCTACATCTGCAGTTGTAACAACTCCTATCTGGCTTTGATTTTGTTGAGGATAGATGGAGAGGGAGGGGAATTCCTGCTAATGACTTTTCTGCTGCAGAGAACAAAAGTGTGCCCACTAACATTAGCAGCCACCATTAGATTTCTTAAAGACCAGCTGGGAGACCTTTGCTCTGATCTCATTCTTTCAAGCTATGCGCATACCTAATATTGAAAAGCCACCGCTGTTCTGCTCAGAAGAAAAATGCAGCTGTCAAATGTTAGCAGATTAAATGCACCTTTTCAGCAGAACATTAAATGTGTAATTATTTTTTGTATGACTGAAGAATAATTAAATTCCTGGATACAGACTGATTGCCAAACTTTGCAGCAGTCCATCTATGTTCCTAAAAATGCTGATATTTTCAGACAACATAATATGAAAAGGTGAAGCTTTCTTCATGTTCTTTATCATAATTATTGCCAGCATTATCTATCTTCAGGTTTGTATGTCTGTCATTTCTCTGTCTACCCAGAGTGGACTATATATCTATCCCATGGCAAAACCTTTCTAACCTGTGTACGTTGTACTTAGTTCTTTGCCCTGTCAGAACAATGGAAATTGTGTTTCATAGTTAACCTCAAAAAGCAAAAAAGTCTATGGCATTTATATAATTTATTACATTTATATCTTAAACTTCATTAAAATCAGTCACTGGAATGTGTATTTTCCTTTTTGTTATAAAAATTTCATAGTGCTATATATTAAAAACCTTTAGGGAAATATAATTTCTACAGAGGTAATCTTGAGTCTAAGAATTAGGAACATGGCCACATAAAATATATATGCAACTATAATAAAGGAAAGCAAAGGAAAATTTGAAGAAGACTTATAAGTGTTCCCATTTGTAGCATCTTTCCTTTGGAAACATTTAAAACTTCAGAAATTGAAGTATACACTACGCTTCTACTAAATACAGACACTGATTTTTTAATATTTCTTATAGCTCCCAGGAAATACTTTTAATGTTACAAGTGTTTTTCCATCAGAATATTCTTAATCACACTTTGTATATTGCAGTTTTGTACTGAGTTATTGAAAAGATGTGGAAATCTAATTTTTTTTTTTTTAAGAGCATTGACCTGAGTTCAATAAATATAAATAATGAAAGTTACAAGTAAATAAAGTGACTTACAGGCTATTTACAGTGCATCCCTGGGGCTGAGTCAGGTGTTTTCTTTGAACTCAGTGGAGGGGTAGAGAAGTAGACATGGGGCAATACCCAGGTCAAAGCCACCCTTGGGCAGGAATGGACTTTCTGGAATGAGTCCTGTGATGCCACTGCTGGTTCTGCCTCTCCTGTGCCCCCTTGCAGAGCATCAGCTTTAATTAGGAGCACCCTCCTAATTAAAGGTGGATGCTGTCAGGTTTGAGTGGGTTTGCACAGATCCAGCACAGGTTGTTCTGAGTTTTCAGTACAGGTGTGCTCATAGAGACCTCTGATTTTGCACTGCTCTCTTAAAATTGGTGGGTGGTCTCACAAATGTAGCGGTAAAGAATACCTTCTCTAAATACATGAGATACATTCCTCTCTAATCTTACACCGAATGTAGTTGCTACTAGATCAGATGAGATCTTTGTTTAACTTTTTTTTGATTTGTGCAATTCCCAGGGACAGTCACCCTCCCAGGGCACTGAGCCCAACCCACCGGCACAGGCACAGGCACAGCCACGAAGTCATGTAATTGCCTTCATAATGGCACAGGTGCAGTTTCCCTGAAGACCTGGAGAGACCCTCACAGTCAGATTTTGTCTGAGGTGTCCTGTGCTTCCTGCAAACTCCTAATCCCAGAGGATGGTGTAGTTAGTGAAGGTATCTATAGCTTCAAAGCTACAAATAATTTATGTTAATTTTTCTTTACAAGTGGCTGCTTCCGTGGCAAGAGACATGCCCCTATTTCCCTCAAGTACATTTCTATCCTTCATCCCGCACTGCCTCAGCTTGTTCTGTTGTTTCACCTGAGACCTGAATGCCATTAAATCCATGCATTCATTTTTATAGAACGACAAAATGTCTAAAACAACTACAAAATTTTAAGGAACAGCGGTAAGTTTTGCTGTGCAATAGAAACTCTTCACTCCACTCACTCTTGCACCATGTACTTTAGTCTCTGCATTACAGTGACTGCACTTAGAGAACACTCCTCACGATAGTTATGCACATACCTTGGCTCGTGGTAGTTGAGATAAGAGTAGTGTTCCAGGAGTTTCCAAGTAATCCCGTTGTCATAGGAGTAGTGCAGCAGTACTCCTTCCCCGGGCTGGTCGGGTGCTTTGCAGGTACTTAGCACTGACTTGCTGCCCAGGCGTAGTGTGAACTGTAGGAACCTGGATCAGAGTTATACAAATATTTGTAGGCTATGGTTTTTTGTTGGTTTGGGGTTTTGTTGTTTTTTTTTTTTTTTCCCCCCTAACCAGGTTATTTTCAGATCTTCTTAATCTGGGCAAATTTTGATAGATATCAGTTATGGGGTTTTGTTCGTGTGATTTGTTTTTATTGTCAAGTAATGCAATGTGGCACATATAGTTAAAAAAATGCCAATCATTACAGCATTTAATTATTTATTAGACACTGAAGGGGAGGGAGAGATAGTGAATGGATCTAATCAGTTGCCACAAGCTGTCAAATAAACACAACCTATAAATAATTAATTAGCACTTGGCTTTGACACTCAGGTTTGATATTAACATTTCATATTTTCCATCCAAGCTGTATAACTCCCCTGCAGTCTGTTTTGGGCTCTGTTGTTTACAAAGCAGGAGGAAAAAAGGCAAATCTATGAAATTGCCATTAAAACATGGAACTAGGAGTCTTTTAAAAGCTTTTTTTCCTCCTAAAACAATCAGCTTAATAATACAGAAGGTTGTAGCTGGAAGGAGAGGGGCTCCCCAATTTCTTTGCCTCACGTTACTCCTCTTTCCCTCTCACCTGGACTGGGAGCTGTCAAGGAAGGAGGTGATAAGCTGGCGCCTCCCGTCCTTGTTGAAGACCAGGGCCTTGCCACTGGCCAGGACCCCGCAGCCAAAGCTGACCTCAGCCCCTCGGATGGAGTAAAAACTGTGGTAGGAGGAGAGGCGGGAGCTGGTGAAGCTCTCTGAGATGAACATAGGAAAGGTCTGCGACGCCATCTCACACGCTGGCCCAGAAAAGCCGGGGTCACACCTGGGGGTGAGGAAGATTGAAGAGCACAACTAATGACCCATCTTTTCAAGCAGCTGGTTGTCAAACCAACACACTGGCTGCAGTTGTTCATGAACTGAAGATGTCTACGAGGTCCCTCTCAAAATACAAGGCCCAAGAACCTCCTTGAACTTTAATTAGGTAAAGTGGTGCATAGCCAATGATTTCTTTTCAGTAGTACTTCCTCTTACAATTTAAGAAAACCCATAGTTAGGAACACACCACCGATCTACACATAACACAGTGCAGAAATACTTTTATTCATTTTTGGAACAAAAAACCTGCTGACATAATTTACACTTGTTCATATGTAATACGATGAATTTGCTTTTGTCTGTAGACTGTTAGGTGTGACTACAAAAAATTAAGTAACAAAACAGAATGCCACATGGGTCACACTCTTGTTAATACCTAAAAGTAGTTACACCAATATTTAGAATATGCTTACCGGTTTTGAGTAAGCATCTTTTTACTTTTTACGGTGGAACCCCTTTAACGTGCCAGACTACCAGAAAAAAGTGGAGTGCTGATCTTCTGTCCTTGAGGTATGTTAGGTTATGGGATATTAGAACTATTAAAAATTTGATTATTTCCCAACATTTAATATAAAAGTGATACAATTCCAAATCACCTCTAAAACCAGTATAAAGTATGCATCACCAACATAACAGTGTTCTCTGTAGCCCATTTTAAAGTGAACTGGAAGTTAGATTCTCTAGCAAAAAAATAATAAAAAAGAAGTATTAAACATGCTGCTGTTTAGAAAGATTGATCTCTAGCTCTCCAGTGAGCTTTAGGCATTCTGGGGGCTATGCTAGTTTTATATTTAGTCATCTAAAAGAGCAAGGACTGAAATGAAAATCACTTCAACTTTCACATCACCGAGTGAACTATTGGCAGAAATTGAATACAAGTACTGAATTATAAAACTTACTTGCAGCCATTCCTAGTGCACTGTCCTCGACCTGAGCAGAATTTAAGGCAAGATGGACCAATATAAACTGCAGAGAACAGAAATCAGTTAAATGAAGAGTTATGTTATGTCATAAACATAATATGAAAAATACAAGAAAATATACTGTTATTGTATTTATCTTAATCTCACTGCCTGGAAAAGGTCTAAAATAGGATAAAATGTGTTTGAGTGTGTCAAGGATAGCCTGGGATAATTTATTAATTAAAGGGTAATATCTATCTGAGGCTGGAGATATTAGTGCTGTTTTAATTAATGTACCTGGTTTTTCTAAGTCTGTGAAACGAGATCAGATGATCTGTTAGGCACTGACCACTTTCTTGCCTTCCCTTCATCTTAGTTTGGAGATGTAATCCAATATATATATATATATAGGTACATTCCAATGACAGTCTTGTAGATTTCAAAAATGTTTCACTGCTTCTCTCGTTGAAATGTACATACTTAACTTCACTGTGCTTATGGGAATTGGAACCTGCCCTGATATGTCTTAAGTAACTATTAAATATAGTTAAATACATACTCTTTCACTGATTATTTTAAATGGAATAAAATTCTAAATCCTATGGGCTCAAAAATACACCAGACTTATTTTACTCTTTTACTTTATCTTCCTCCAATGACTCCTAATTGACAATGTTGATTTATTGTGAAAAATATGAATGATGGATAGATGAGCAAATCTTGGTATAATCCCTTGCACTACTATAAAGAAAAGCCATAACTTGTGGGCAGTATTATTTCAATACAATATGATTAGAGGCCTTAACCATGAGCAGTGTCCATTTTTCTGTTGAAGACTGCTTATTACTTGGAGTTATCCACTTGCATTGTGACTTTTGGAAGGAATAGCCACCAATTCTATAACAAGCAGTACTTATTCCATTTCCTAGTTTCATGGTGTCGCCCATCACGGCAGCATCAGCTCTCCCTGGCAGACGCACGCTAAATCTCTGTTAGCTACTCCCTATAACTCCTCATCAGATTTCATGTGATTTCTAGATTTTCTCACCTCTCAGGGTGCAAAAATTCTGTTCTGTCTGTTTGATTTCTTTGTGTATTTTGAGGTCTTTTTGAGGGGGTGGTAAAAGTAGAAGGGTTAAAGATGTAATGATGTCATTCAAAATAAAAAAACTTTATGGAAATTGGCATTTTTCCAGTGTTTCGGAAAGATGGCCAGCTTCCAGATTTCATTTAAAACTTAATTCACATAGGAAACAGTTGTGAAGCTAAAAGTCAGAGTACTGAATCCTTGAAAACCTTCCTCTCTTCAAGAATTTGAGTAGATTGCCAATATTTATGGTTTTTTCCCTACAATACAGCGTAAGGCTTGAGTGTCATAGTATCTAACAAAGGAGGCATTCAAAACCTCAGAAACATGTTAATCTTTAAGACTTGATTCCTATATCGTGGTTTTGCACCTCAAATTCAGAGCAGGTACTTTTTAGGTAGAGGTTTTGTAAAACCTTTTTTGACATGGTACACACTGGAGCACACAGCATCCTTTGACGGAATTCCATTTTGTTCTACAAGCAAAGGTAGTGCAGATAAATGAATTGTCAATGATCTTCAGAATCTTTTTTTGCCCTGTTGTAAAGAATTTGTATCCTTAGATTGATTTAATCTTCTCATTTCTGTGAAAATCTCATGAGTGTCTCTAACACTTAAAGTCTACATTTTCTTTGGTAGCAACTCATCTTTGCAGACACTCACAGACATCTTTTATGTCTACATACCTACATTTTCCCTTAATATCAATTTCTTTTTCATATATATCTCATCTCTAAGACAAGCATTAATACTCTATCTAGATGTCAAGATGATGCTACTTCCCATTAATACAATTAAGAGAACAATTTTCATGACTTTTAGTGACAAACTTTCCTTTGTGGCACTACCTTATCTGCTTCAAGGATTTTCTTTTCAAAACTAGGCATAAATCTGTTTTAAGAATTCTGCAAAATGTAACTATTTACCATTCCCAGGCTCCATATCAAACCTTACTGGGAATCACTACAAAATTCCACAGACTATTGTACCTCACTGTAAATCTCTAAATTACATATTTCACATACCTAACCAAACAAATTCCGGATGTAGTTTATTTAGTCCCAAATCATTTAAGGCTAACAAGCAAGCTAAAAAAATTGCACTTTCTCATACTTAGCCCTTCTGATCACGCTTATTTCTGCCTGTCATACATTTTATCCTGTGTTCCTAAATACTTTTTCTGTGCTTTAAAATATTTCCTTTTCATTCTGGTCCTGGTTATCTCCTGCATTGTTTTATAAATATATGGATCAATACAAGCTCCTCTCAGTTCTTCCCAATCTTTTAAAAAAAGGTATGTGGAAAATAATTTCCTGAAAGAAGAACAGTTCCCTAAAATAGATGGTACTTTCCTCAAAGATACTGTAAACAATGTTTTGTCATTGTTTTGGTAGCAGTGTTGCTTGAAGGTGGTCTTCTATGTCCAGAAGGAAAAATACAACCCAAATGCTGTACCTGTTGCTAAGGCTGGTGCAGTGTATGTCCTTAATAGCCAGTGTAGTATCTAATTATGTAATTAGGACTAAGCAGACAGAGGAAATGTTATATTAAGCCCTTGCCACCAATATATTTTCCTGGAAAGCATTCAATTAAAAGAAAGAAAAGTAATCTACTAGGCTATTGTCTTTTCAAATGGCAGAATTTCCCTCTAGCTTCAAAATGTACCTGTTACCAAGAGCAGATAAGCAGAAAAAGAATTTCATAAACTGTAAATTCACTGGCTCATGATTGTGGAAAATATGTTTACATAAAGCAGCATATAAAAAATTCACTCTTCTGATTTGTCATGATCATGGATAAGAATACTAACTATTATCGATTGCCCACATATTTCCGAGGATTGGTCCTGTTTGTCTCCATCGAATCCTGGTGTCACTTGTTAATGCAGCATTGGGAAGGGGAATAGTTATTCGGTTCCACCTGAAATACATATAACACAGGCTCTAGCATTTTACACTGATAGTTGTTAAGCAACTGTATGTTTTGCAGATATGTTTATGTATACTGGAAGCTTTATGAGATGTTCTAATTTTAAAATCTATTCAAATGAATTTATGGCAGCTTTAGAAAACACAAATAAAAAAGAAGAACATGGCCCATGATATTTTCATACAATATGTGAATATTAATTATTATCTTATAAAACCTAGCCATTTTTCCCCCGTTGGAATGCATAAAGTCAGCAAAGACCTTAACCTCCTTTGCTTCTCCATCACAATGAGTATCTCATAAATTGCAACCTTTCAGTATGACTGAACTTTGTTTGGTGAAAATCCTCTGTGGGTAAGAAGTGGTGCAGAGGATTTGGCCTGCTGTGGTTTGGGCCATCATTATCCATGGGGGCCACACTTCCCACATACACCAGGGATAATGGTTCCTATGAAAACTGTACGGGAATGGTGCGGGGTGGGGGGTGTCACGAGATCACAGCAATGCTTCAACTACACTTTCTTCTCATAGTCACACCTGCTGCTCTGAAGTCTGTGGAAGTCGGGATACAGAAGGATAGACATGGATTTTGTGCTATGCAGCAAGATGTCACAGTTTATTTTTCAGTGAGAACAGTACAGAAGAGATTTACTTACTAAGAGGGGCCGATAAAAGAAAGTGACACTAACAACAACCTCTATCTGCAGAAGTACAGAGGATGTGATTCACAGTACCCCAGTATTGGGATTCCAAGTGAGTAAAGGTGACTGAGGATGTAAACACGGCTTTGACTGATGTTTTCTCTGACTAAGAAGAAAACTCTGTGCCTTTAACAAGGTAAAACTTTTCTTCTCATTACCAATGTGCTGCCCACAAGTGGGTTTTTTTGTAATTTATCTTTAGCATCAAAAAAATAATATTATACCACAGAGGCACCCCCATACATTTCAAATTTAATTACTGGGCAGCCAGGGAGCCCAGAACACTCTTTCCTTGCTGTCCTCAGCTAGTCAAAAAAAGAAAGATGACATGGAGTTGTGTGCTTTGCTGCTTTCTTCTGTCACCTATAATTCACTTCTCTAATCTTGCATCTCAGTTTTGCAGAGAACACACTCACCCGCTGTAATTTTCAGAGGCATAGATGGTGCTGTGGGGGAGGTGAGGCCCAGCACATATCTCAGGCAAACACTCGGTGTGGAGCAGGGACCAGGAGCGACCATGGTTGGTTGAAAACTCCAAGCTGACGCTGGTTAACACATTGAAGGAGAAAAAGGAGAAAGACACCATGAAGCTACCTGGCATAATCTCAAAGCAGAAGTACCAACACCAAGAAACCACTCAGTCAGCTATTCCTAATAACTGATTAGGAAACATGAAATAATTTAAAGCAGACTTTGAATACAAAAAGTCCTGAAAATACAAACATGAAACAAACCTGACTGTTTAAAAACCTCAAGGGTAGCCTATAGACTGAGGATTGTCTAAACACACCTCTTATTTGAGCACCAATGTTTTTATGCTACTGCTGTTAAATGAGCTGACTTTACTTTTATATTTCAGATTCAAATAGTTTCAAATATAAGGAGAAAATCTGGATTAATCAGACCTAGGCAGCATCATGTGAGCACAGGACAGTTATAACTGCCAACTGCTAACCATTACACCTGCAGAAGGTGGCAAAAAACCACTAGCTAGTCATGCACCAGCTGGCTCTTTCCTGGTTTAACCCCCCCAACATTGTTTACAGCCTACAAGTATAAGGAAATCCTTAGATGCTTTACATTCCAAAGACCTCGAAAAAGTAATATAGTACTTGATTTATTAAAGTTTTAGTATTTTACTGAATTACTTTTGTAATTTGCTCCATATAATTAGCTGTAATATTCTGTTTTATTTTAAGTAAAGCCAGTGGAACATTATAAAAATCATAATTCATCTCCTCAATATTAAATTATTGGATTCTGACTTTTTCTTTTTATGGAAATTTGCTGACAATATTACTTTATTTAAATGTACCATCACTGTGATATTATAAGTGTGTACTAAAACAGTTTATAGAGGTTTTGACTAATTTATTTCAGATTTAACTGTAGCGATACCTTGGAGGGTCATATTTACTGCATATATTCAGTATGAGTCTCTCACGTTTGCAGTAATGAAAGCATTATGAATAATGCTGTAGACCAGGAGATGTGAAATGCTGCAGTATTTGGGAAATACAAATAGGGAAAATGGTGACCTAGTACTTCTTTTGTTATGAAGAAGGTCACTTCTTCAGGAATAGTTTAGTGAAGGAAGAATATTAATCTTTTGAAGTATATACCACTCTCCATCAGATAACTGACTAAGACAGAGACTTTATATAACATGTTTACTGGTCAGGAGTGTTTACAGGCAAAGTTTTCACTTTTCATATAGGAAAATGTTGCTGCCTTCACTTTCTATCAAATATAAGTGCAATGCCTTGAATTTTGCTGCTCCTTGAATTCTGTTAACCTGCATGGATGCTGGAACTGTCAATGCTAATGCAGCTCTTTCCAGTTGGAACTAGATGCCATGGGACATGGATGTGAAAGCACTTACAGTCTCTAACTTTAAACTCTCAACTCTGGAAAATGTAAAGTAACTTAATCCTCATAAAATATCAAGATAAATATTCTCACATGTACATAAGGAAAGAGGGAAAGTGGGCAGTTTGGTTTTGGGTCCCCTATTTGAAGAAGGCTATTAAGAAACTGGAGAGCTGGAGCAGAGGATAGGCAAGATGTCCATGGCCTCGAGCATCAAGCTAGGATGGGCTGAGGAGCTAGCTTGCTCAGCCTGGCAAGGAGGGGTGAGCTGCAGCATCCTGTGATGGTGCAGAGGGCACTCACAAGGAAATTGGAGTCAAATTCTCCTCAGTAGTGTCAGACACAGTAGAAAGGACAATGGCCATACAGACATTGCTTCAGAGTTTTATACTGGACATTAGAAAACACTTTTTCACTTGAGCAGGTCACTCAGAGATTTAGCACAGTATCCATCCATTCAAGTCATGGATAGGCAAAGCCATGTCTGACCTATGCTGGTCCCACCTGCAGCAGCAGGTTTCACTAGAAAACCTGTGAAGGTCCCTTCCAACAAATATTTCTATGACTCTATAAAACACAAAGCTGCAAATGACTCCCTTCTTTCCCTTTCCCTCTCACTTCATGGAAAAATTCACACTGAATGTCCTGAAGAAGTGAAGCCAAAAAGAGTTCTGTGGCCAATCTACAGACAGTGAGCTCCTCACATTGATGGTCGTTGAGGGCCATTTATAACCAGTCTTACAAGAACTAGATATGCTTGTGGCATCGGTAATCTGAGAGGTCAGCAGGTTAGGTTTCTGCTGCTGCCTTTAATATTTTCCCCCTTACACAGTATTAAGAGGCAAATCTCATGTTCCTTAGAAACTGAAGAAAAAGTCCCTCTGAAATCATGACCATATTTCAGAATAGGGGACCAGTTTTGACCTGGAAAGCTATTTATTGGCTCTTCACTGCACATTAGATACATAAATTTGGGCCTGTAGAGATCAGGAGAAGCATTAGATTTTGAGCAGCTTATATTTGTCATTATTAATGGGATCCTTTCTTACTGAAAAAAGATTTCCAAACTCTCATATAGATTTTATAAACCAAATTATACTAGAAAGCTGAAAATCAAAAGAATGATCTGTCCAGTTGTACCTGTTACCAGGTTGATAAGTTCCACAACCCAAATTGATAGAAAATTGGATCATGTGAGTCACTGTGGAAGGGAGCACCGGAAGGACGTGGAAGTAATCCACAGCCCACACATTCCTGTTGTGGCCTTGGTGACTCTTTTGCTTCAGGCAAAACTTGGTTGCAGGAGTCTGAAGGTCCGGACTAATGACAACAGAAACCAAAGATGGAACCTTTAAAAAAAATAAAGCTTAGATAAATTAAAAAAGGTCAAAAGGTACCATTTAAAATAAAAAAGCAACTTCAATTGTGCTGACTCAAATATGTGCTATTCTCTCTCCTTGCTTCACTTTGTTAACTCTTTTAGCCACCTTTTTCTACACAAGATCCCAACTAAAATAATTTGCTATTATGTGCACAGGTATTAACACTCTGGATACCAGTGCTACTTATCACCTTACAGGGATCAGATTGTCTGGTTGTAAAGACATGGTAGAAAAGACTGTCTCTTCTGTCTTCTGAAAAATGCTAGTTTACATTGTCAGCTTCAGCTGGTAATAGAATATGATGTTTGTCCTGGAGCCTTACAGCTCACAGAAGCAAACATGTCTAGTCTGAATACATGAGAATAGAGTAACAGCATGAGTTCACAGGCATATGTGGAGAGGATGTTATGTTGCTGAAATACACGAAAGCACTGCTTTACAAAGCTTAGCCTTTGTCCTAAAGCAATGTAATTAGAACTTTATTATGTCAAAAGAGGATGTCAGCTTTAAAATTGCCTGTTCAAAAAAAAACTTCTACAATGAATTCAGTGTAATTTCAGATCCTATCTCGCCCCAAGTTCCCCAATTAATTTTTTATTATTTTACAATTACAGCTTCCTTCGTTTACAAAAGTTCTACCCTGTCTTTCACACAGAAGCAGGCAAGGAGGGAAGCCACACACAATGAAACAATGCAAGTGACTCAACCAAACACAAGCCAAATCCTACTGTAAATATTTGGTTTCTGAATGCTACGGTTACAGGAAAAATGCACACAGACCTGTGCTTGAAATCAGCTGCATCTTTACCAACAAATTTCCTTCACACTATGTGAGCATACTGCATTTCAAGCTCTGGAACATCCACGTGTACATGTATTAAATATCAAAATTTGCTTTCTATTTTACAGCAGCAGAATAAGGAGACCTCAGGGCTGGGTTACTCAGGATAGACATGGTCTAAGTGTTTCCCTGCCCTAGACAGGAAGGATCCTGACAGCAAGTTCAAGGTCTTTATAGTCCTGCCTCAGGGTGGTGGACGTGGTTGGAAGGCGGTTGCACTGTCGGCAGAGGAGATGCTGCCTCCCATGGCTGAGTCCATGCCCATGCCCACATCAGTGCAGACCTTCCCCCAGCCGCTGACCCCAGCAAGACTAAACCCCTCAGGACACAGCTCCTGAGTACCAAACTGGGACTAGTAGGAGCTTGGGTGGAGACAGGAGTAATCATTTGTGAGGAGACATTATCACTGAAGTTTTCAGCTGATAACTGACAACTTTTGCCCATCGCTTGTTTCCTGTCACCCCATCCCCAGCCAACACTGCAGTCCTGCTTGGGGCTGGAATAACCAGCAATAACTGCAGAGCTGTGCTGCAAAGGCACCCGACTGCTCCCAGATCTGCACATGATTTATGTGCTTGGGAAGGTCACGTTTGAGTGTCCCTGAGGAATTCAACACACAATATTGAAAAGATAATGATATCTATCCCATCCACCTGCTTTGTTTATGATGATTTACCTTGTAAGCAGCATAGGTCAGGGTATCAAGAGGTATGTGTTCCCTCCTGCCTTCAATCTTGGCATAAAGCATGACATCATTTTCATGGGATTCTCCAGAATCACAAGTTCCTCCTGTACAAAACACATTTGAGTGAGAAAAAAATTAATTGAAGCCCTCCTTATTGGAAAGTGGAATCATATTATGCAGCCATAATTATGAAAATAATTACAATCAGATGCTATTTAACTTAGGATCTGAAACAAAAGAACACCAGCCCTACAGACACAGTGTATAGGAATTATTTGATCAGATACACCATGCCAGAGATCAAGGGGGTTGACGATTATGAAAACCTCAAGTACCTCTTTTAATCAGCTTATCAAAAAAAAAATTTAATAGAAAATGCTGTGCCCAAAGCAATACTTCTATCTGTGTGCTTTAAATCCTATTTACATAGAAATGCTCTGCTTTTGAGTTCTAATCAGTAAACTGTTATTTAGTACTCACACTTCATGCAGTCACACACATGGCATGTGACAATCTCTTAAATACTTCTCAACTGATAGTTTGGCAGCTGAGAACTTGTTCTAAGTAGGAAATGAGGAAGATTGCTGTGTACCTTATTCGTTGTGCTGCTCCTTCTACTGTCTACACCTCAGAGGGAGGGAGGGAGTGAGAGAGGGATGGACGGATGAATGGGCGGATGGATGGACAGATGGATGGATGGATGGAGTCTATTGTACCACACAAAGCATGTGTGGCATGCTTGCCTCACTGGAATAGGGCAGCATTTGAAATATCTTCATAGCAGTAGAACCCAAAACATTGATTAACCTTCTCTGAAAGAACGGATTAGTTCCCAAATGCAAGCATTTAGTTCTGCATTATAGATACAAGATGGATATCATCACACTAATTTGGTGTTCTGGAAAAGAAATTTTTTTAAAAAAATTCCTCTATTTGAAACAGGAAACATAATTTCTCTATCTCCTTAGTACACTATGGGTACTGCACGTACTAAAAAACCCCTCAAAAATAAAAACAAAAATCAAAAACAGAATGAGGAAGAGCTTGAAAAGTCTGCAAAGTAGAAAGGTTGGAACACTTTCTCTGCTTTTTTTCACTACAGACAGCCAGTTCTTGTAATGGACTAGGCAGAGCAGTCCAGAGAACTAGATTAGATGTGCATCTTTGATGTGTTTTATACTGTAATAAGGAACATCCATGTGTCCTTTCAAATCTCCTTGCCTGAATGTTTAAACTATTATTTATTTAATTTAAAAGTACACACAGAATACATTTTTCAAACAACATCCCACTATCCTCTGTGCCTACATCTGCTGACAACTTTTCTCCTAAGTTCAGAAGGTTGACAAAATTTCTTTCCTGTTTTTCTTGCAGGTGTTGTAATGTTTGGAAGAACTGGGAAAAAGCATCCTCTTTTTCCTGTGCTTTATTCATAATTCATGTAACACAGAGGAGATGTGCAACAATTTAGGACAACAACATGAGGTCTTCCCCTCATTAAATAAAGTGTGTTTTTTCTTGTTGATACAGCAGGTTGCTTGTGGAGGTCACAGGTTTATCCTCTGTTTCCTCCTTTATTATTCTATTATTTGCTTTTAAGCAAAAATCCTCAGGTCCTCTAAACATGCTGTTGAGAGAATAACCTCATGCAATTTCCTCTATGTGCAAAATAAAAGTTCTGGAAAAACCCTGTGAGTGTTAACTACCACGTTTATGGGGATTTTGGTCTGTTGCAACACCAAACTAGTGAAGTTGCACTGACAACAACAGCAGGGAGGGGAAGCAACAGGACAGGTTGGTTCCTGGCTGCTTTCTTAGCCCTTGTAAATGACAGAGGTTCTGACACTTTGCCCCAACAGGGGAGGTCCACAGATGTTGCTAACACCACGTCAGTGTTTTTCATGCAGACCATACCTCCTCCAAGACTGTAGCACACTCTGTGTGAATCTCACCCTGGGCCAACACATTATCAGAGGAATTGTTTATGAATGGAGTAAAAGCTTTTGAGCAGAAACTGTTTCGTGGGTTCAACTAGGTAAGGCTGTCCACCTCTGTGCTAATCCTATCTCATCCTCAGGTGCAACTCTCTTGACTCTGATGGATTAACACCGGAGTCTACATATATATGACTGCAGGAGGATATGACAGGTACCTATAAAAGCTCTATGGTGGGGTAAGGATGGCAAAGATATGACTATATCTTCTAATGATGGATTAAGGGGCACTGAGTGAAATTAGAATATACAAGACAAGAAGATGCTTTTTCATATGAGAATTGTTAAACTATGGAGCTGTAGGCACAGTAGGCAGGTTCACTTGATTAAACACCAGTACCAAGGATCATTTTAGGCACTGTGGAGGGGCCTGGCTCACCTACCTGCCACTATAGCAGGGCTGTGACTCTCCCCCAAGTCCCAAGTTACAGCTGCCAGCCTTGTGCTAACGTCTCAGATGTGCTTGGTTAACTCAAGTGGCAACAATAACCAGTGCTTGTGTGACAAATCCTGCCTGAGGACTGGACAAGAGTGAACACAGGCCTTGTGTGCACCAGGTGCTTAAGGTGCCTTTATAACAACGGAGGTCCACAGTCTGACTCCAGGAAGCTGCTCAGCTGGTCCAGCACAGCTGTCTCATGGCGAGTTGAATGGATTTTTGAATGTACTGACCACAACTCCTCTAACTATAAAGGAAGTTCAGACACTGATCTTACATGCACATACCTTCATGTAACTTCTATATTAAACTGTCTTAACCTGGATCTAAATGTTTATCTCAGCCAAAAAAATGGCTGGCTAAATCCATGGCAAAAAAAACCACCAAGGGCTACTAAACCCAGAGTGCCCTGTCTGCTTCAAAAGGGTTTCCATCTGCAAGTCAGTGTCATCTGGGAGAATATTTTTGGGAGACCTATTTGTGTGCTCACCGTTTGTCCATCTGCATGGACATACAGAAGGGTGGACTCTCATCTGACCTGCAGTGGTCAGTCTTACATCCTCATGGGCATCACAGTCACAAATCAGTGCTATCTTCTTTGAAGGAGTATTTAAAACAGTTCCATGCACACTGCACAACTTAAATCTCACATACTTCACAACTTGTATTACATCAGGAATTTATACTCACCCATACTGAAATAAAATCTCAAGTTCCCATAACCTGTAGTGTCCATATATGGAGTACATATTTTTCTTTCTCCATCTCTGAGGAATACCATAGCTGAGCCAGATTCCAGTGTCCCACATTCAGTACCAATGACGGCTCCAAATATGTCCCACCTGCAGAGGTCAACAATAGGTGGAGAATGTGCAGCAGCACGTTACTGATAAACTCACACAAAGCATGTTCTATGGGTTCATTTGTACGTAGAAAAGCAGCTGTTTCTATTCTTACACAAGACAAAAACCACAGTGTTTCAAATGTGATTCCTATGACACTACTTACATATTCAATATTAGCTTTTAAACTCAGTTGACTCAACTAAAGCAAAGTTAATGGAAATATCTTAAAGAAATTAGCAGAAAAGCATGAATTAATAAAAAATGAGGTTTTAATGAATACTATTACCAAATAGAGAATGTTGTGTTGTTCTATCACCTTTATTAGTTTTTCTGGCATTAAAATAGTTAAAATTTAATTGCACTCTGCTCCATTTTGCACAATATGAGGTTTATAGATCAATGAAACTTGAAAAGGCACATGTCCACCATATCTGCTACAAAGATATTAAATACATAGAAAATAGCTGAAAATGCTCTCTTTTCATCTTTTTGAGCATTTAGGGTAACAGTTTTTAACTAACACATGAACAGAGTATAAAAAAAGACTGCTGTGTTTTTAATATGTGACGATATGATCTTTCTCAGTTTTTCTGTATAACATTTTATCTTATTTTTATTCAGTGATAATTAAAAGAGCTGTTGCAGAATTTTCCAATTAAATATTTTATGTTGAAAATACATTTTCATCATGAAAGCATTGGTTACTTCAAAACTCAATTACAATATTTTGAAATACTAGAAACTGTTGAAAACATGCATTATTTTGGTCTGATACATTATTATTATTCATGTCAAACTTAATTAATTAATCATAAAGTATTTAAGTATTTTAAGGCTGGTAAAACAATTAAATTATTTAGAATTACTAAATCCTGATAATCCAATCATTTAACTATTCAGGATGATTGAAGAGGAATGAGAAAACAAGGAATTTCAGAAACCTTTGTGGGAAGGCAGAGCCTTTTCCTGTCTCCTTTCAGCAGAAACTATCTCTAGCAGTTATGTGCCACATGACAATTTCAAAAACTGCCATTTCAAGAACTAAACAGTCTATTTATTAGTTTAACCATTCCAACTATTTCAAAATGCATTTCTAGGATCTACTTTAAAGCTGCCAGTTTCCCTACTGACCTAAGCTGTGACAGACCAGCAACATATCTGTTTGGAAATCCTGCTTTAAAACTGTCAGTCATCTACACAGGAGTTAGGGAGCTTAACATCACTGAAAAGCTTTATGATATAAATAGAAATATTTTAATGGAAGCACAGTTTAATCTAACCCTAATTCTGTGGCACAGTTTTTTTAAAGGTAATGTGCAATATAATCGAAACACAATTTTTAAAATGGGTCTCCTGGGTTGAAGGCAAGTACAGAATTAAGCAGTTGTGCCTACTTTAACTTATACAACAAAATCTCACAATGCTCCATTGATCTTTTGTATGCTCTATTTAGCTCAATTAAAACACTCTCTGTAGTGACCCACAAAACAACTTGGGGTCATGAATGATGCAGATCATGGATGTTTCCAGGGATCCTCTCCTTTTAGGCAGCATCAGAATGAAAACCACAGAATTCTACCTCTTTAAAAAAAGCTGGCATTTTAGTAGAAATATATCAACACACTCTCAGTAAGGACAAATAGAGAAGGATCCTGGGTCATGGCCTGATTTAACATTTACATTTGTATTAATTTATCCATCACATGACTCTTGAATTTTTTCTCTACAGAACAGGTGATAGAAAAATATATGCAGCTAAACTAGACCAACAGGATGTGGAGGTCCAAAGCAGCAATACACCTGCTGGAGACAAAGGCAGCCTGATGTGGGGATGTGTCTACTTTTAGGACGAGGCTCTAATTTATGCAATTAAAAAGAAGCAGAATGGCAGTGGAAATATGTGTGGTACTTACAACAGCAACCCCTATCCATGTAGCCTCCTGCTTTAGGTGGTACGTGCCAAAAATACCAATCACTGCTTATTAAAAACAGTGATAATCTCCTCTGCCCTCACCTCCAAGAGCATTTGGTGCAGAGTAAAGTGGTGGTGACCCCTATACCTGAGCTTCCATTTGCTCTTCCTTATAAGAGATGCTTTTGCCTTTCCTTTGAGAGCTGACAGGCTCCAGCTGACATGACAAAACAGAGCCTGAGAACTTCCTGCAAGCTCTGTCTCAGGTATACAGTGCTGACTGTTTGGATATAGCTCAATTAGCATTCAAAACTATTTCTCTAAGAAGGGAGAAATATTTCTCTGAGAAGGGAGAAATTCTTTAAGAAGGGATTTGCATATTTGCTGTTATACACAGGTCCCAAAGCAAACCCCAGAGAAATCTTGAAAAGAGGGACAGTGGAGGTGACAATTTTATACGATGGGGATGTAGTCCGTAGCATCACCCGAGTTCTGTGTTTATTCATGGCTGCATGCAATTTAAATCTCCATTCTTATAGAACAGTTGAAAGATGGAAGTTTCTAATACAGAATAAAATTTAAAAAGAAAAAAAAAGAAAAAGTTGTGAGGCTTTGGGCTGGCAGGCTTGGAGGCAGATCAGGGCCTGGTTTCTGGGACACAGGATAAGAGAGTCGAATGCATCTGCTGGCTGTGCCCTTCCTCACTCCTGGCTAGGGAGCAGTGGCACCTGCAATTGGATCTAGGCGTTGTATGATAGGGAAAGTGTAATATTCGTAAATTCAGAAGAAATTGTGTATTTGCTAACCAAGGCTGCAAGTGGTCAAGCTTAGCTTAACCCAACACCTGGTCCAGCAGAGACAAGATCCACAGACAGGGCAGATGTCCATGGGCAACACTTCCACCCTGTTTTTTTTTCAAGATGGAAAAGACACTGAGAACACACATCAAAGATATCACACATGATCACCTAACACACACGTGCTTATTTTCTTCCCTTTGTCTGAAGCAGCACCTGCTGCCATGGGCTGATTATTAGAACTGGGACAGAGTTCACAGCGAATATTTTTTCTGTAAGCCCCAAATAAATCACATGTCCACAGGACACATTAGCATGTATTTCTTAAAAGATGCTCTCTACCTTCAGCACAGCACAGGCAGCATTTGAATCAGCTGCTAATGATCTGAAGTACTTTGTAGGTTAAAATCAACATTCAGTGGAGACCCATAAATTAACAGTGTACATTTCTCATTGCCCTGGGATTACAGCAACTAATGATTTTTTAATTTTTTTTAATTTTTTTTTTTTTAATAGAAAGGAGTCAAGACCTCATTGCTGGTTATTTTCTTTTTGTCAGAGTTTCTACGCTAAGGTATGTAAAATGATACTTCTTTATCAGGACGCACATCTTTTAAAAGCTCAATCATGTTTTGGTAAGAGTAGTAATTTTGTTGTCCTAGTTAGCTTTGTTACTTTCAGTGGCCTTGCAGCAGTCCCTGGATATGGCTTTACAGGAACCCTTTGAATCACAACGTATATATTCAAAAGAAAAATAGTAAATTATCAGCCAAATTCTCAGCTTTTGCCGAGCAGGCATGGCCATGCTCTTGGTGCTGCTAGATGAGAACAGACTGCTGCTTCATCTGTCCTGCCTTCACCTCCTCCTCCAGCACCCGCAGGTTTCTGCACAAGCAGGAGCTCTCTCATGGCAAGGCAGGGCTCACAGCAGTGATACAGAGGGCGTGAAGTTGTCAAGGAATTTGATTTCACATGGATATGAGTTTGTTAACAATACTCAAGTGTGAATGAAAAAAAAACAGATCAACATCAGGTGCTTGTTTAGAATGGCTACATAATTCGTAAGCATGACTTTTTTCATTAAACATTTCAGTGACAGGATGGTCTGAGGACAGACTGTTCCTTCTGGGCTTTCTGGACTCTTTTCCTTCCTAAAGTTCACAGTATTGCTATTTATCCTATTCTCTGTTCATACAGTTTCCTCATCCCTGGAGTGATGCTGCACATCTGTGTAGAGCCCTGCACAGGTGGGGAACACTCACCCTTTAGGCTGGCTCTCAAACTCTTCTGTCCACTGCTCCTGGGCATCCTCCATGGAGAGGTCCACATCTCGGGTTGTGGCAAAATTGAACTCGCTACCTTCTGTCCCATGGAAGTAGATGGAGTTCCCATCTGACTGGCAGCTATGCTGTGGGCAGAAGGAGCACATGGAAGGTGACGTGACATTGGGTTTGTAAGGTGACCTGTTCAGAGTGAGCTGTAGGTTATTGATGCCTGAAACTAAATAAAAAATGGACAGTCATCTTTTATCTTTCCTGTCCAGCCCCAACAACGATTGTGTTCTGATCTCATACCTGCTTCCCTACAAACCCACTACAGACCATGGCAAAACTGTACTTGCACTGAAAAGTCACACCCCATATCTCTGGGTGTTTATTTCTGTTTTAAAGTATTGCCGCTATGTCTGGCTCATAAACAACTGTATGTACAAACAGCTTCACTAGTATATCAAATATTGCTATGAGTATTTTGTAGGTATAAGATTTTTGTGCTATGAGACATGTCAGATCCCCACGCCATAATTTTTGCTAGAGAGGTATTTGCGTTAAAAATTGCTATGCATTGCCATACAGTAAACTTTGGGCCTGAAGTGTGCAAGTGAAAAGGCTATATTTGTTATATTTAATTCAAATAACATAACAAATAGCTCTAGAGGCAACTAGATCTTGTGATACAGCAATCGCAGGGGTCCTGAGACTGCTCCCAAACCCAATGTGTCTGCTTTTCCAATTTCATTTTTGCACATACTACTTCAGCAGCATAAAATGAAGCCATGTGTCTCCCCCAAGATGCCCTGACTGCCAGGACTCTCCATGAGTACTGGCCTGGAAGGAGCTGCCTGTAAGAAGCGCATGAGGGTTACAGTACAGATTTTCTTCTTTCCCCCATCCTAATTTTGTCTTCTTGTGTGACTGATAAAATGATAATGGCCTGCCAAACCTGTGGGGCTGAAACAGGTACTGGAAGCTTCTAAAGAAGATCTACCTGGCCTTAATGCAAATTGACAACCTCAGATTCTTAAAAATGGAAGCTGAAATAAGAAAATACTAATTAGAAGAATTCTGCATTCTTACCATATTTCAACATCTGAAAAAGAGATACAATAATGCCAAATTGCATTGACCTTTTCAGTATCGTCTGTGCAGTGCCCTCTTGTCTCTGAACCCCTTGGTAATGCGCCGAGGGAAAATATGACAATCACCTCTTCCGCACTTAAAAAGGTCATGGTAGTGTCACATAAGGGAATAATTAGATTTTTAACAAAGAGAGAGGTGGGGCGAGAAAAGAAAACTGCCCAGTGCACCATTATCTATGGGATTTTATAAACAAAGTACAAAATAACACATTTTGTCATATTCTATAACCCTTCATTTATCAATGCAAGAAAGAGACATAATTGAAATTCTTTTATTGATGATTTTCAAGTATGGATGCCAATAACTTAGCAATTAATTTATATTGAGGAATGTATTTTGTGACTACATTTCTAGAGGTGTCTACACATTTAAAAAAAAATCTGAGTACTTGAGGTCTGATTTTTGTATAGAGACTTTCTGGTCTATACTTGAATGACAACAGCTCTATGTTTAGTAATGCAGAACTAAATATCACTTAAAGATATAACACACTGTAAACATGTAAAGACTGTTTCAACTGCTAAAATAAAGAAATTGCTGTTAAAGTGTTTTTCTTCTAAAGAAAGGCCAAAGCAATAGAAAGATCCTGAAGTGCTGATAATTTATCACAGAAATTAAATAGATTTTGTCACAAGTCTCCTTGCTCTGCTAATGCAGCATATACACAGTACATCACATATGCCACTGAAAAGGCAGAATAATTTACATATCGAGTATATTATGACTAGTAGAAATTAATGACATAGTTTTATATCTTTTCTTTGAAAAACAGCAGTTGTACTATGCAGTTATTTATAATTGACTGAGAAATTGTTTTTGTTGACTGATTTTACCCTTCACGCTCACAGGTATTGCTAACAGCAGAATTTTAAGAGTAATTTGTTTATTGTCCTTCTTGCTTTTCAAAATTTTCCTCATTTTCTGAACAGAAATGAGGTATGCTTTATCTGTCAATCAATCTGTCACAAAAGTCCTATTATTTACAGGTTGTCAAATAAATACACTAAAAATTAATATTCAGGCTAAAACTTAATTCAAATTTATACATAACTCTTCATCTCAGGAAACAAATAGACAAATAGACTACTGACATAGTTATTACAATTGCATCAAGCTCTGAAAAATCCTTTACAAGTCTTACTTATTTCTCAGTTGCTAAGTTATATGTAAGTATGTATTTGATAGTGGATATGTAATTATTAAAAAAAATTTATTAATTTAAACACAAATCAGATACAACCCCGTTATCATTTAATATTTGTATGTCCTTCTGCTGTCTAGCAGAATACTTACTGAAGTACATCTGATGAAGTTTTCATTTAGGTTGTCAAAATAAATAAACGGCCAGTTTGGCAAAGGGGTGAGTAAGTAATTATTTATACAGTGGTGTATGATCAACCTTTTAAGAAAGCTCAAAATCATCATTTATTTAATTAGTTTTATAAAGCTATGTTTAGGCTTTTATACATCGCTACATAGTACCTATGAATATGTATTTTATGCATATTTTATGTGTTAATGAATTGCACGACGTATGGCTCAAATCACAATCTGCTCATGTTAGCTTTGACTCTCATATGAAACAGCTACACAGAAGAAAAGTTCAGAGTGGGGTTTAATTCCCTCTGTTATTCTAAATACCCATGAAACCAGTAACAGAAGCTCATGACCTTTGAAGTTAATGACCTTTACAGAAACTAAGAAAAATGTTCAAAGCAAAGGTATGGCTTTTAAATAAGTTCTGAGGGCGGGCCATAATTTTCTTGTATGGTTTTGACCCATTTGGGACCCTGGACACATTCCCATGGGAGGAGCAGATATGAATAAGCTCTATGAGCCATGCTGTCCCAGCAAGGGCCAGGGCACCTCTGCTCATGATCTTATTCTCTACCACCTGCCATATTTCCCTCACCTGTATAACCATCACTCTCAGTTCACTCTTAGCTTCCATATTTTCTTTTAACTTTCCAAGCAGTCACTATCTGTCTCTGCTTTTACTGCTTCTTTTTCATCTGAAGGGCTGCTGAGGGGAGAAAAACCTCAAAGAACTCAGTCAAATTTTCCAGGAGATGGTCCCTTGCCCCCAAGGACATTGTCAATCTGGTTCAACATCCAGGAGGCCGCTGATTGTGTTGGATTACTTGGTGGTTTTGTTACAGGGCTTGAACAGATTAAAGATGGAAGTGAAAGCATCAAACTTGTTGTCGCTTTAGGTTCAACCCAAGATTTGAACTCAAGTCTTTAGAAACAAAGAACTAAAGTACAATTTACATACTGTGTTGCCTCTTTCCCAAATTAAAGGCCTTGCCCTTGCAGTAATGGTCTGCATATTTCCAGTATTTAAGGACTGAATTTTAAAAGTATTTATTTTTTCATTTTAAAGTGATAAAAAATACGGAATGGACATGTAATGTGTTTGAAACTAACTGGATTAAGTTCTCCCTAAACTGGAGATACTGCAGACTATGTAGATGCAGAGTTCTCTTTTATGAATGCCAGATTAAATTTGTTCTCCATTTTATATTTTATTTACATTTAAATGATTTATAAGATAAGAACAAATTAACTTCTGTGCAGATTTTGTAACTAAAAAGGCCAAATGACAGCAACTTGTAGGATGTTTCTCCTTGTTACCATGGAAGCATCAGCTGTAGGTCCAGAATTAAAGCAGCATTCAATTTTTTCTAAAGAGGATTAAAAGCATGTGGAACATTTAGTGTGTTGTGCAAATTACAACACTGAAAAGTTAACTAGTTTGTAAAGAAAAATTAATTTAGAAAATAAATTCTTTGACAAATCTGATAAACTTCATTTAAGAAAGTTCTCTCCCAAATTGCCGACTAATAGAACATAGGACACTTGCAGGCACTTGAAGGAAGCCACTCATAAAAGTAGCTGTTTCCCATTGTTTGCAACTGGAATGGGACTATCAGGCTGCCATAAGTAAACTGTTGTATTCCTAAATAAACAACCCCTGCCCATTGCCAAATGGAAAGAAGCCAAGTCCTGTTCAGAGATCGTGGTGATCCCAAGTGAAAAAAAGAAACAAATTCCAACAAATAGATTAATTTAATCTGGCACTGCCAATACTATTATGCACTAGCTGTAATTGTTAAGCTATTGCTCTGCAAGAATAGGGCAAAATGAAAATTGGCTGGATGTATTCCCAAATCTCAACATTCTTGGATTTGGTTTCAATCTAATCTTTACTCTGAATTTGCTGTGTTTCTGAAGTCTGCCTACTGGATAGTTATGGTATTGCTGTTTTTCCCCATTTTCAAGGCCCTGCATGGTTTATCCACACCTGCCTCCACCATCTCCCATATGCACCACCTCATGGCTCACTTTTCTTTGACTGCCAATGCTTGTCTGCTGGTGAGACAACCAGGCTTGCATGCACTTGCCCATTCTGCCCACCAGGCTTGTCAAATTCCCCATATGATGTCTTTCAGACACTTCCTTGGTGCTCTCTTTAACAAGCCTTATCATTTGTCACACTGAAGAATGCACTGCTGACCAGGATCAGCACTCTCCCCTCTTGCAATATTTCCTGTTACTCCCACACCTCCCCATCCCCAGCTTATCTCCTGTTTTATAAATTCATGGCAATTTCCTGGCACACAGGCTATCTTTTGGTTTGCACCTTGAGAGGGAACAATGGTACATTCCTTACTCAGGGCTCTTTGATGCCATAGTGTTACCACTATTACAAAAATATATTTTCCTGCTAAAATTGCTGTTATCTATAAATATTTCTAGTTTATAAGTACAGTTCTTAGCCAAATTGTCTGTGAGACCCAGCAAGTCTTATTAATTCAGGTGAGCTTTCTATTGTACATTATGAGGATATCAGCTAATAATTTGAAGATACAGAATATGGGAGAGAGAGCAATGCATGGTTTCAAAATCAAGCTTTCTCCCAGAGTCTGTCATGCACTTTATCCTGCTCTATACTCCTTATATTTTACATCTTCTACCTACAGCTTTCATC